CCCGCGCCTGATACACATGAATGCGACAAGGTCTGTATGTAATTCGTCATAAATTGGATATTATCTGTGATTTTTGTAGAAATTTCTCGATATCTGCGTGAAAAAATGAATTTAAAAGGTCTGTATGGTCCTTTGTAATGAATTAAATATTATCTATGGTTTGTGTCGCCAAAATTTCTTTATATATGTGAGAAGTTATGATTTTATATTTGTTCTCTTTTTGAAAGTATAAAACATTTTGATGTTTACTTACATTATATGAAACACGACTTAGTCTCGTGACCCGGCTGAAACTAAAGTACTAATTTTTTTTTGGTGTATTCGAGAGTTCGATCTTGGAATCAATTTTGGGCAAAAACTTCCCAAAATTATCCACAATACATCAAATTCAAATGTATAATTAAAAAAATTGCTATGTGTTTTTCAAGTATCGAAAAGTAAATCTAGTCAGTATATTGCGGAGGTGATAAAATTTATTTATATTTTAATTCAGATCAAGTAGTAATACATTTGAATAATCAATAAAAATAATAAAAGAAAGGGTTTTCCCTTTCTTTTTCCCTTTGAATTTCGTTTAATCTAAGCTTAATTATAACAAAATAATACCAAACTCGATATACACTTGATAGTTGATTTTTTGCTTGCATCATCACATAATGACTTGCGCAAGAGTTGATTGGACAGCGATCGACATACCAGTGCTTACCACCTAGTTACCACTTACTTCCACGCTCCATTTGCCCTCGGTATGTCTGTATGTAACATTATGAATATATTTACACAAATCATATCAGTTCTAAATGATATTAAATTTTAATTTGGTAATCACTAGTGGATGTAGATTATAATAAACATATGACAGTAAATAAAAGTTATTTCTACTAAACACTGTATTGCACATAATAAATTAAATCAATAAAAAATAATACTTAATAAAATGTAGTTCAATGGACGGTCTTAGCCCTAACAGGGCAAAAAAAAAATTTCAGGTATTTTACTTAGAGTAGTTGCTAAGTGGGGACAATAGTGTCTAGAGCTATTGAGAGAACATTGATGTCAGTACATCACAGACAGAGATTAAGCAATTCCCACTTGAGGTAACTATCGCCTCACAATTCAAATATTGTTAAAATATGTACAGAAAACTATTAAATTCGTTTGTTATAACTTGGAAGTTAGAAGAGACTAGTCACCTAAAACATTCCCACAGACTTGTTTTAGTTCGAATAGTTACACAGAGATAAATAATATTGTAGCATAACTGAAAAGAAAGGTCCAATCCGAATGCAATACTTCGTCTAAATAATTTTTTATAAGAAAAATTAAAACATTTACGACTCGGGCAGGACTTCAACCAACTTCCATAGCGTGTTAAGGTTGAATTTACATTGCGCGAGAGGTGCATGTATTTGTTTTGGTATGGTTGAAAAAATTCGACGATGACGTGTCGGATTCAGTAGCTCAATTTGTTAGAGCAACAGCAACCCTGTCGATGTCTGTTCAAGTCCTGCCCGAGTCTATTTTTTTTAATATATCTAGTGGCATCATGTTCAAAATGTGAAAAATTAATAAATTAATTTTCAATGTAAATAAGTGAAATGCATTCTTCACAAAGACATCGTTGTGACCTATGACGCATCTATATTGCCCAATCTATTCGGATAAGTAATAATTATATAACTAGAACCGGTAATAATAATGCAATAGATCAAGAGTAGGATGAGCAACGAGACAGGAGCGAATGACATTAATTTATTAATACTCAACTTCCTGTTCTTGATTTGTTTATTTGCTGACCGTACGATAATTAGGTATATAGGAAGGATTAGCGGCATTATCATTTATAATTCGGCAATAGTTCGTATAAAAATATTATATACACATATTAATTAACATAAGTACACACACAAATTATATATAAATAGTTATATAATAATATATAAGTAGTTTTTGTGTCGTCAAAATGTTCAAAATATTCAGATTTCCAAAATTATAAATTTATAGAAGAATGTTGGACCCGATGGGGATCGAAGCTATGACCCGTTGATTATAATTGCAATAAATTTGGGTCATACATTAACGAACTCATTACATACAGGGATATTCAATAACATATTATTTTGTTGTTATTTGATACACGGTTTATAGGGCACAATAATCATTCTATAATTAAATCTGGAGCGGTAAAATCTTAAATAAGAGGGTCATAGGTCACAGTAGGCCGCGATGACCTGAAGCCTTCGCAACACAAAACAAAGTCGTGAGAAGAGGCTAGTATTCCATTTGTTCTCTAAGCACTCGCTAATTTTGCGCTTTCAACGTAGATAATTATAACTTTATCTTGCGTAACAAGAGAACCAGCGCTTCTGTAGTCACGATCGCATCCGAAGACAAGTTTTTTTTCGCCTCTCACCAAAAACTTCTTGCACAAAAGTGAACTTTGCGCCACAGATAAATAAGATCGAACGCAGATCACCTGTCACTTTTGGCGGTAAAATATGATTGTGAGATACACAAAGCAGCGAAAATTATATCAAAACTCCAAAGGCGGTTGCGTAACCTCGTGCCCAATACAATAATAATGGATGTCGCGAAAAAAAAATGAAAGTGCAAGAAGTAGAGCGGGCAATTGATACAATGGCACGGCAGACACGATTTAAAATAAGATGCTTCTATGTTCCTCTATGCAACGAAATTACCTCTATATGCAATTACGATTCAAAATGGTTAGTTTGAAAGGAATATTTCTTTGAAAACTTTTTTTATTTCCACTTGTTATTGCACATGATATAAATTAAAAATCGATTTTAGATTGACACGGTAGCTCAATTGGTGCCAAGTCAAGTGGATGCCGGTTCAGGTCCGGCCCGGCTTTATCATTTATACATGGACCTTTCTTTAGAATCTCGGAAGTATAAACAGCAATTTATTCTTACTAAGAAGCTTTTATCCATTTTAATTAGAAACAGAATATGTTTTATAAAACCTATTAAAAGCTCTAAAAATCTATGACACGTTCTTAAATTACTTACACAACATGGCGACCAATATTATATTACTAATTATATGCCAGTCTAATTTGAATGACATGACAAACGCGAGAAGTCCTGAGTTTTAATCCCGGATATAAAATATAATACCCTGGAGATACATTTAAATTAATCCGTGGAAGAGACGCATGCCTCTCGTAGGGGAAAGAAAACTTTTTTTATTGGACGTCGTTAACTGTCGGTACGCTAAATTTCTATTGAATACGCCATACGAAGGTTGTCCCCATAAAGGGCTGACCATTTCACCCTACCATACAAGTTCCAATACATACCACAAGCTGCCCCGGCAAATATTCTTTGCCTTATGAAGTCCAAAAATTGATTACCAAAAAAGTGTTCTTGTGAGTTAATCTTAAAAGATATACCTACATATACAATCGCGGTAATTTTTCTGTTTCTCCAAAGAAGCCTTCCTCGATAAAGGCTGAAATTCGCGCGTTCAAATAAACAAACTCGCCCTAATATTTATACGCACAGATACTGTTAAAGAACTTTAATTTTAGTCAAGAGACTACAGACTATTCATTACTTATATTTGGTTTCTATGTTACATTACGGCCATTGCACAATAAACGAACCAAAAAGGTCAAATATAAAGTTTTGCTATTAACCTTTAGTAGGCACTGGGTTTATAATTTTGAAGTATTTATAACACCTGTTTAATGGTAATAGGGTTGATATTTGTGTAATGTTTTAAGTGGCTCGTAAAAGATTTTAAGCAAAGTGCAGTTTATAGATTAATGCACTCTTAATATAATAGGTATAGGTTGAGTCCAAAATCAATAAACAATTTGTTTTTAAAGAATCAGTGTAAAAAGAAATGATAAGTTATCTAAGACCTATACTTATAATATATTATAAGTATAGGTCTTGGTTTTGGTCACAGGTATTCTATTTTAAATAAAACACTTAAACCCGTTAGAAATAAATTATTTTATCTTTCATTACTATCCTTTTGCCAAACAGAGGTCTAAGTGCTAACACCTTGAACTTCTGGTTCTAAAAAAACTTGGTTTTTACTGAATCAACTCAAGTTAATCAAACATTCGTTTTTTCGTAAACACAGAGTGCGACGAATTCTGTGAAATCAAACCTTGAACTGTTTCACAACAATATTTCATGTAAAAATTGTTTAAGCCATGCTTAGGCAGATTGGCAATAACCCAATTTTACGCTATTGCTGAAGACAACGGAACTTATTTTAATTAATTATATTTAAAACACCAAGTTGTACATCATCTTAAATAGACTATGCAATATCTTGCTTAATTTTTATGCAGTAAAATAAAGAGATCAATAGAATTCTAATTAAAAACTATTATAGACAAGGAGCACAGATGAATGTCACTATACACATTTAGATTTTTCCTATCTTTGTTTTTTTTTTAACAATTGTGTGTGACAGTAATTGTAAAAAAAATGGAAAGTTCCAATACAAATTAAGTAAACTAGTCGTCAACCAATTAAAATCAGAAGTTCAGATTACAATACACCCAGACTGCAGTGACCACCAAATAATTATTATTTGGTAAACAGTGGAGGCGGGCGTAGATGTAGGCTTGTAGTGTCTATAAGAGGTATATTAAGTTATTAACTAATATTATTGATATAATTATGAACATAATCGGAGTATATCATACTTTTTTTTAACTCATATTTTGTTGTTTATATTCATATAATTATAAAACCCCCTTTGTTTCAAAGGTCCTTGTTTCGAATCCCGGTAAAACAATAGATTGGAACCATTAGGCGGGGCACAGAATTTTTTTCCGCCCATGCGCAATGCAAGAATAATTTTCCTTATTTATACAAAATAACAGCTATACATGAAACCAAAGAAAAAGAAGTAGCAAAGGACCTTGTTTTTTGTCCATTTGTGTAAGTGGATCGATAAGTCACGCTTTAATTTATGACCAAACAATTTATCAGTCTCTAACTTTAATAAATCCTTTATCTATGCAACCCAGCAACATGATCATTGATTTCATTTATTAACTCTGCTGATTTCTGTATACTTTCTAATTGGTAGCCAATGTGTACAGATATTAGTTGCATTTTCTTTAAATTCTGCTCAGTACTCTCCATTAAAGGTTCTGTGCATGCTGTATCCCTTGCTGCCTTCATCAGAAGCTGAAAATAAAACATTGTTTGTGACAAGGTGCTGTACATGATCAGTATTTTTGACTTTATCTACTAGTTGTAAGTCTACCTCATTTGATTTTGAACCCCTTTGGATCTGCCGTGCCAAGGAAGCTATATTATTCATGTTAACTTGAACTCTCTCTGCAAGTCTCTGCTTTGATTCAGCGAAAAGGGAACGGGCACTACTTGAGGAAGCGGAGGTCATATTGAGTCCTCTTCAATACTTTAAGCCTAAAAGATGTTTATTTTATTTTCTAACTCTTCTACGATATATTAACAAACAAAACAAACTGGGAAAACATTACAATTTTGTCATATGTTTGACTTTGACATTTTCGACTTTTAGTGACAGACATTGACAGTTCAATTGTATTAGTAGCACAGCTGATAAGATATTGTCAAATATTATCCTCTATGGATTTATTATCTGTTTATAGCAATGTTCTCCACATTACCAGCAGGTGACTTTTCGTAAGGATTTCAATAATATTGGCTATTTTCTTGTTTTGCTTATATGTTTTCAAAGTATAACGCAAAATCTAAGATATACATATACAAAGAGAAACATTGTGATTATTTGTATTTTAGCTCTTGCTGTACCTTATATTGCGTTGAATTAATATCATCGATACTATATCGATTGTACTTTTTAAAAAGATAGCTAGCAATACCGATAATGACATTGCCTGACTAGCTCGTCACTGGAAGTTTTTGTGTTCAAGAAAATTTCTAATTAATAATTTAATTAACAGTTTTTCGAAATGTGTCTCGCAAATTTATTGGTGATGAATAGTTTTATTAGTTTAAACAAAATTTCGTTTGCCGCAGTGATATAGGTCATGTTTATTTACGTGACTGTTGTGATTGAATTTAGTAGAGTTTAAATTTTAATGTTTTTTATCAGCCACAAGTTGTTATATCACAAAAATGGATAAAGGTGTTACGTGTGAACATCTGAATAAGCTTGTTGATGTTCTGGAGCAGGAACTGTGGCAGTCAAAGGAGGTGAGATTTGGATTAGACGATGCCTAACCTAAAATGACATTTAAATGGATAATTTGCATTCTTCACTTATGTATGTTTGTCTTATGCAATGTACGTTGTATGTAACACTATCTAAACATTACAAAGTAAACGTAGCATACTCACGAGTCATTGTTGACAAGCTTCGTGTATCTAACTTTAATACAAATCTTGAAAACGACAATTACTGTGAACAATCAAAAACTATCTATACATAATATTCAAATGTTTTATGCATTAATAAGTTTGTGAAATAAAAAAAAATAGAAGTATAAAGTTTATGATAATATTGTAGTTTACTTAATATATTTCCTTATATTGTGATGCATTCTGACCAACTTTAAAAAGGTTTTAGTAGGATTATGAGGCTTATTTCTAATAAGAACATTAAGTATTAAGTACGTAGCACTGGTGTTAAGTAGCATGAATAATAAATAGAACATTAATGAATAAAAATATATTTACTAAATTTAAAAGTTGCTATTTTCAATTTTATGTATAAATGATTCCAAGCGGATTAAAAAAAAGTTTTTATACTTTATGAGATAATATATAACTATTTCGTAAATTACACAATTATATGCTGCCTTTATCACTATAAAAAACTCATCCTTTTTTTATTTATTTTCTTTGCTTAACCTTTATCCATATATTTCTGATTCCTGCAAATTAATAACTTTTATCCAAACCTTAACTTTAATAGTTTGGAATCTCAAGATTTATACCCAGAAACTATACTACATTGCACATTACCAAATAAGCATTCAAAGATAACTTATATTTATAAGATAAAGAATAAATTTGCAGGAGAAAGGGCCTCATTTAATTCTTTGTAACAAAGTTTTATTTCCTTTTCAGACCTTAACATGTCTTGACTGCAGATGTCCAGACCCAAACCTTTGGATCTGCCTCCAACCTGAATGTCGTCATATTGGTTGCTCTGAAGTTAAAAATGACCACAGCACAATACATCAAAAGGTATGATTCATTTTAGTTTGAAAAAGTTTTAAAGTGCAAAGTCATTCTGGTATTAATTTCCTATTATCCTAAGACAAAATCGGCTAAAAATGCATCTTATGTTATATCGCTGGATATTTAATCTACCTTCAAGTGAGGTCCATGCTTCTCCTGTCCTCATCTGTCTTCCCCTCACAAAAAGATATTTAAGCTTGTTTGTTTAGTTCTTTACTGAATAAATATAAAAATAAATTGCACACATACATTCTCTAAGTAATTTACTTATTGTTCTTAAACAATGTCATTATTCACTGGTTGTAGTGACAAAGGTATGCTGTAGGTATGCTTTTGTTTGGCTTTGTTAAGTAGTACTGAAATATATCACAAGTATTAGATTCTAATTATTAGGAAATAAGTCAAGGGATTTTAAACAACAAGACCATATGGTCAACTATATATTTAATGTCTAACACATCTGTCAATGTACAGTACATTTATATTTATAAATAACAAGAATATAACATTCTACTTGATAATAGTAAATCATACTTAGATAGAAATACAATAAAATAAAGCAACATAAAGCACAATGTATGTCATAGTGTCAAAGTCCATCAAACTGATTACTTTGTGTGTGTGTAACGGCAAAACAAACAAAGGTTCTTCGACACATACTACATTTTGCAGCACCCATTGAAGTTTTATCTAACATGCAAGTTTATTGAAATAAAGCCTCCCCGTGGCTTATTGGTTTAATGTGTTTACAGTTATGATAGGTGTTAGATTTTTAGTTCCAGCGGTGACATAATTTTTTCCTTGGCAGTACCCTTGATGCGTTGTATCCACCCATGTTTATATTATGTGTTCACTAGGTTACACAGCACGAATATTTATACACCACATAGTACCTTTTTAAAACACAATATTAACAATTAACTAAAGTAACAACCACATCAGATATCTAGTAAGAATGTTCTGCACCAAAACAGTGTACAAATGTATGTAATATATAAAAAGCCCTGTTTAATAACCCGAATTTCAATGCACAATGACAAAACAGTTACAATTAAATGAGAATAGGAATTTTTGTGAGTTTTATTCCACATTCGAGTATTAAGAATTGGATTCAGGCCAAATATTGTAACTTTCATACAGTTTGCTTCATGAACTTGAATTCAATATTGTATATTTCTCCAGTATTTAATATTTCATTGAGTATATGTTGTGGGCATTCAGTATTAATAAATTCTATAATTATGCAAAAAATCTATAATATTATGTACCAACTGAATTGAAAGGTTATTGAACAATAGTTTCTTAATCAGGTCAGACTGTGTTATATGACTATATAAAAAGATTATGCTCAAAATGTTTATGTTCAACAAGGCTATGTAAAACAAAAAATTAAATGTCACTTCCGTTTTGTATTAGGCACAAGAGGTCCTGGATTAAAATCCTGGGGAAACATGATAATTTCCATCAACCAAGGTGCAGAAGACAAATGTACGCTTCAAAATATGTCTGCCTCATACAAGTGAAACTGAATTGTAGTTCACAGATATGTTCAATTATCCATTTATTATAAAAATCTTCATCTGCCTTCGAGTTATATTTCCGCCCATTACAGCCATTCGAACTCAGAGTCACGGTCATCTATTAAAATAATTGCATATTTACCGCAACATTTTTGCAAAAATAGTATTCCTAAGTTTGAAATGTTTAAATTGTTAGATACGAATGTCCATGTTAGTGTAAGTGAAATCCCGTTTCCCCCTCGTGGGGCATGGGGCGAACACATTTTTGTGTTCGTTTTATTGATCCGTTCTTTAACAGGCAAGTAGTTGATCAAACTTCTATGCCGTGCCAGACTGCAACAATTTTGTTTCTATGGAATTCGAACCCAGGGCCTCTCGCGCTTAATGCAATGCTAAGCAATACGTTCAACCATTTGGTGACAGAAGCGGTCAATGTCCATGTTAGGCATACCAGATTTTTTTATGACAGATGTTTGAATTTTGAAGTTGGAAGGAACCCAACCAGTCAACATTTCGTTAGAATGTGCTGTTCCCATATTTTGCATAAAAAAAAGGGAGCCTTATTAGTTTTATGAGTGATTACCTTTTCCCCCTTTAGGCATGGGGAAAACGTATTGCTGTGTCCGTTTTACTGAACGGTTTTATTTACAAGCAAGTAGTTTAGTACACTTCTGTCGAACTACTGGAAAGAAACTAATTATTATTTTCTCAGGATTCAAACTTAGGATTACTCGTGCTTAACTCTCTAGTCTCTTATTGTAAAACAAGTTAATATTACTGTAGTTTTAATTTTTAACCATATTTATTACTTTGTCTTATATTGTAAGTTGTCGCGCATTGATAAGAACCCTTCGGAAGTGATCATGAAAAGGTCAGCAGAGTTACGTATCTATCACGCGTAAATGTAGTTGACCCGCATAGCGGTTCCACCTATGCGATGATGGTATAACATTACACAAAGCTAATTACAATCACGACACACCTACACGTGACACTGTAGGTCGATTGGAAATGGTAACATCACTTTGAGGTCATCGGTTCATATCCCGGCCGTGTCATCGAAGTATTTTCTATTAGATTTTGAATTCAAATTATTATTGTCTACTGTTCCTAAACCTTTATTTAAACTCTATGTTGCAAAGAAGTCAAAAACATTTTCATAAATGAACTGTAATTTTTCAGAATTATCCCCTGCACTGCGTTCATATGAATGTATCAACAGAGCGAATATGGTGTTATTTGTGCGAAAAAGAGGTGCATATCAGAGCTGCCTTAACGCAAGCACGGGTAAGTTCAATTGATCCATTTCAAATCTAACCTTTCTCTTCAGACCAGAATTTTTTTATATCTAATCCAATTTTTTTTTTGTAATATTCAATTTTTCTGGTCTCTAAATAAAAAATCATTACTAATAAGGTGACAAGCTTTTAGACGCCCTTAAAATTTTCACATGCAGTTGTAATCGTTCTTGACGGACTCATTGGTAAAATTAAACGAATAATTAACGGGTCACTTCGATTCTAACGGAGCCTAAAGCAAAACAGGTCAATGTCTTTATAAATTATATGACTTGGGTCTTCCTTGATTTTATTTTTAATACCAATTTTGTTATTAAACTTGTCAGCTTGGAGGACATTCCACGAGTATAGAAGATATGTCAGTAAGCACACGGCTAGGCAACGTCGGTATAAGTGTCACCAATGATGAACTGGAACCCGATGATGACTACGGTGATGATGACAGACCTAGAGGTATGATGATCAAGCAATCTGTTATAAATTTTTGCTTTAATTGGTACCTAACATAGAAATAACAATTTGCTGCTAGAACAAAGGAATTAAATTTTCATAGACAAGTGTAACTTTCCAGGACTCGTGGGCCTTCAAAATATGGGTAACACATGCTACATGAATGCGGCATTACAAGCACTAAGCAACACTCAGCCGTTGACCTCATACTTCCTGGAGTGTGCTGCAGCCATCTCTGTGCTTGCTGCTGACAAAAAACCTGGCCTCAGTCGGTGAGATTTTTCTACAATTATTATAAAAAATACTTAATCTCTTATAAGGAAACACAATTATAAAATATAGTACCTGTAATTATTTTTCTGGACATGAATGTTGAATTCTTTACATAAAAACCTTACCGTCATTTTAAATAACCATATTAAATAACTAATATGGTTATTTAAAATGACGGTAGTTCACTATGAAAATTTTTAAAGTCATAAAAATGATACTTTAACAAATATTTATAACTACATGCTTATATATCTCGAAAGCATTCTTAATTTTATAGATAAAGTAATAATTTCTTTCTTTTTTCAGGGCATACCAAAAATTAATTAAAGAAATGTGGAGTAGAAAAACTAGAGGCTATGTTGTACCTAATGGTATTTTATATGGAATAAGAAATGTAAGTGATTTTCTATTAATATGCACATAGTTATATAAGTAACTGTGTCAGCGACTTCGTCCGCGTAGAATAGTTATTTTGGGCAACCAAATTTGTTTTTGCAAACCATTATAAATTTTAGCTGCCCACGACGAAAAATTTCCCCCGTTTTGTTAACATTTCCTGTTGTATCTTCGCTTTTATTAGTCACAGCGCGATGTTTTATAGCCTATAGCCTTCCTCAATAAATGCTCTAATCAACACACAATTACATAATTTTTCAATTGGAACCTGTATTTCCTGAGATTAGCGCGTTCACACGAACTCTTCAGCTATATATTAGTATAGCATATATCATTGTTATAGGACTTCAATATTAACATATATTTTTAGGTACACCCGATGTTCCGTGGCTATCAACAGCACGATACGCAGGAATTCCTCAGATGTTTCATGGACCAGCTGCACGAAGAATTAAAAGAGCCGGTTTGTTCATTGTACTTTAACAACTTGCTTCTGTATCTCTAAGTGTAATGTTTTAGAAAAGATCTAAATTAATTTTAAGATACATGTTGAATTCGGTGGTAATCAAACCCCTTGTTAAATTTTACATTGCACTACTTAAGTGATTTTTTTTATTTACGAATCAGTAGGTAGTTGGGGATTTCATATGATATAATATGCTAATTCATAATGTCATATATTTCCAGGTTTGGGATAACACGCCTGAGGATAAAATCGTGACCGAATCAGATGGCGAACCGCAGGAGACTAGGACGTTACACATACGACGAAGAGCCGTGTCTTCGGGAGGTAAATAAACAATGAAATAAGAAATTTAAGAAAAAGTTGGTTCAAAGTTTAACTTTGCCCTATCTTAACATAAAAACATAATGTTATTTTAATTAATATATAATTACCAAATAGTCTATAAAATAAATATAATGTTATCGACAGCCAGTGATGCACCATACTTTGCTCGAATGCGACGGAAATCACCCGCGCCCTCGTACAGTGAGCCACGCCACGATGGATATTTTAGGTAAGTTTTTATCATTATTTGTACACTGATTTCATGTTAAATACCGTCTGTAGTTTACGCGAGTTATGCACATCTAAATAAAACATGTTAAAGGTTTAAAACGCGGAAATAATTAATATAGTTATACTCAATGTAACTAAAAACTGGATTCCAATAAACAGCATTCCAGCAAACACCAAGACGTTAGTTTCGCTAAATACCAACTACGACGGAAGAGATGGCGCTAGCGTAGCAGTTTTTCACTTTGATATGGGAGACACCCTACATCTTTAGTCTCCCTGTGATCACGGTTGCTGCAAAGCATCCGAAACATTCGGGCTGTTGAAATAATTTCCAATTAAGTTTAAATAGCATATATTTTAAACAGTTGAAGTGTTTTATTTTAACGATTTAAAGTCTGAACTCTGACCATCTGTTTTAGAGAACTCTTTATTTTACAGTAACCTGTTGCTCTACAATTAAAAGTTTGTATAGATTGTTAGTCAGGTCACATATTGTATTATTTTCTACTAAATATAATCTTACAAGACATAACATATTGCCTAGTGTGGGTTCTAAGTTTGTCTGAGTCATGGTAAAAAAAAAGTACATAGTAAATCCCTTAACATTTTTTAGCTATCGTGTTGTAAATATCACTTTCTGGCTATAAATAATTGTAGTACTGACATCTTATAGGATACAACCGCAAGCGGAGGGCGTTGCATCGCGACATCGTCGTTCAGCGAGTTTTGCCGGGACCCATCACTTCACATACAACGTGCTAACACAACAAGTCAACGGTATGAATTCTTAATTAAATCATTACTTTACTGAAGTATTAAAAAAAACAAAGATATCTAAAACCTGATTGGTCCTTCAAGCCGGTTATTATAAAAACTATTATTCTATGTAGTTAAGATTATTTTTCAACTTTCTAGGACCAACCAAGGAATCAAATCAACGCGACGTCGGTTCGGAATCAGAATTATCATGTTCTAGCGAAGCGGAAGAAAGATATGAGACTTGTTCCAGTGGGGCCAGTGATGCTGCAGACACAAGACATACGTAACTATTACTTTATCTTTTAAAGAACGCTTACGTTACAAATGCAAAAATTATTAGTTAACTCTATTAGAACTTAAGTAATATATTCCGCGATTAAAACTGTTCTAATTCAAGGCTACAATGTATGTAAATAGTTATTCAGTAGTGGTTACTTAGATTACCATTTTTATGACTTAGGTGTACGGTTTCATATTACTGTGCGAAGGTCTACCGTTAGTTAAAATTAGTAAATTGAGCACAGATATACAGTCGTGGAAACATAGTAAATGCCATTCATTTCATTGAATGGGCTGTTTCTAGTGATAAACGTAGTTATTACTAAGTTACACATACATGTGTGGTTTTTCAGTAAATCCAGTAGTGGCAGTGTTTGCGGTGGTGGGGGAGGGGACGGGTCGGCCCGCGGTGTGCGGTACAGGAGCATTGTGTCTGACGTTTTTGACGGCAAATTACTCTCCTCCGTGCAGTGTCTCATATGTAACCGGGTATGTGATAATATTGATGAAATTAGAAGTTTACGTTGCGTGTTGATTATGCTCGAGTCGACGAATTATGTAAAGATATACATCAAATATTTGTTCAATGTCAGGTTTATTAAAAAAAAAGGGAATACATTTTATGGGGTAAACATGAGGTTCAACAAACAAGGCGAAATACCTTAGCCATGTATGTAAATAAGATGCCCTATCGACCTTTATTAGCTTTCGATATTGGGACATCGATAGACTGAAACCGACTCGCGCTTAAACTTTACGGCCTTTTCAACTGAAGACGAGAGGAGTTTCGATATTACCATATTGAATATTACTAGCGGGTAATCATTACTGCAATTAGACAAACGAGCTCGTAAAAAGTTACCTTTTTTTCTTGTTTTGTTTGCTAGGTATCAACCCGAGTGGAAACATTTCAAGACCTATCCCTACCGATACCATCTAGAGAACACCTGGCTGTGCTAAGATGCCAGCAACCCATATTAAACCACCCGCACGTTTCACAAGAATCATGGGTGAGTTGTAGAAGTACTAAACTTTTGAGTGGACACATATAACGGTATTGCAGAAATCGGACGAGTTTTCGTTCGTTTAATTTTGAAATAGACTATACATTTATTAAAGGGTCCATCTATTTTAAAATTATGAAATCTTATTCAAGATAATGCTATTTTAATATTTGAGCAAGCAGATATTTTATTATACGGGGTCATTCTTCCGGCTCAAAGGACCAATACATCTAGTTTTATAAGCATTGGTCAAAGAGATCTTCAAAATGTTTATAGGCTGTTTTTTATTTTTTTCCTTCCTTCTATAGCTTCTATTATTGTTTATTTTCGTTATCCATTTTTATATAGCGCTGTTCATATTGTACATAATATATTGCCTTGTAATATTCAGCTTTGGTGGCTAGTCAGCTGGCTGAGGTCTTGGTTCTACGGTCCAGTTGTATCACTACAAGATTGTTTAGCTGCTTTCTTTAGTGCTGACGAGCTGAAAGGCGATAATATGTATAGGTAAGTTCGTCTGTATTGTAATTGGTGGGTTAACTCAAAGTAGGGGGGAAATGAGCGAAATAATCAACAGGTGACCGGGTGATCAGTCACAGCAACAGATAATCTAACTGATCACCCGACCTTCCATCAGAGTCCTCAATAGAAGATAATAATAATTGTACTTGGCAATCGGGTGAACAAGTTTTGATACATAGAGTAGATAAGTGTACCGTGTATTGTAAATGATTATCGTATTGACTTTTTTGTATGTTTTTCTGCACCTGTTAAATTTACCAGTTAATGTCTACGTAAGCAAAGCATTTATCGAAATTTAGAAATAAAAATTAAATTCTCAAAAGTTTCATGGTTTTAATCAGTCTCTTTATCGTTCATTGATATTTATAAAATGCACACATGCTGTTTATATTCCTTAGTTGTTCCCGCTGTAACAAACTTCGCAACGGAATTAAGATGTCTGGTGTGATGAAGTTACCCGAAGTCCTATGCGTGCATCTGAAGCGGTTTCGACATGAGCTGATGTTTAGCGCTAAGGTAGCTGCGCGAGTCTCCTTTCCCATAAATGACCTTAATATGGCGCCGTATACCCATAAAGGTAACCTTTAGAATATTATTTTATATTAAGTAATATACTTATACAACTTTAATTAACTTATTAAGACGATACAGATGGCGCTAGTGCAGCCAATTTAGTTTTCACAAAACAGACTGCCTTAATCTTTAATAATTCCTCGGTGACCTTTCGACTGCTACAAAGGACCCCAATCGTTGTAGTTAAAAATAAGAACATAAAGTATTTCGCGTTTTAAACCTTTAAACTATCTATTTATACAGAGTTTGTATTTCCAAACATTTTATTCGTCGATATCGCCGATCGATTTTACCTCCACTGAAAGAGCTAAGGCATATTTCGTTAATATTCGAACTCAACACCTAACAAAGCAGGGTAGGGTACCCTTAACGCGGGGCAATGCTTCGAACTATAAACTAGGCCATAACAATTATCTGTAATTAAAGTGACGATTAATTTCAGAATGCACGTCAAAAATAAGTAGATATTCCCTTTGTGCTGTTATCTGCCACGCGGGTACAGCTGGTGGTGGACATTACACCTGCATAGCTAGGAGTAGCACCAATACGAATGACGATAATTGGTACGCGTTCGACGATGCTACGATATCCCCAGTTCCCATACAGCATCTAGCTACGTGCGAAGCCTATGTATTGTTTTATAGGTATGCTTGCAGATTACCTTCTATGCTATTCAAAAATGTTTAATGAATTTCACACAAACCATATCAACACCTGCAATAACTTCTTGAAATTATAATTAATTATTAATTAATACTTGCCATATCTAATTCAGGCCAGTCTAATTGTGGCTTTTTATTTTCTATGTAATTAAAATAGTCTATTTAAAATTTCCTCTACTAATCCGGCTCGAATGACTAATTGTAATCTATTTATTTTATACTACTAAAGCATATGTTTAAGTAGTTCCATTTTTTTTACAGAAAAGTAAATCCTCAAATGGCGATTTTGCGTCAAAAAGCGGCTGAAATTCTTGAGTCTGCCAGCAACGAACCTAATGATATAAAATTCTATATCTCCAGACAGTGGATTAATAAGTAAGTATATGTGCTATGTTTATAAAGAGTGTACCAAGCATGCACTCAGTGCTTATTTCAGGATACTAAACAAATATTTTGAGAAAAATAAATAAACCTAAACAAACAAATATGGGAATAGAAGAGAATTTATCTTTCATAACTATTTATGAAAATTTCTTACTTCGCTTTCAGATTCAATACATGGGCGGAGCCCGGGCCGATAGACAATAGCGACTTCGTGTGCGTACACGGCGGCGTGCGCGTCGAACGAGCGGCGCATTTGTCCGCGCTTGCGGCGAAGGTGCCTCAACCGCTATGGGAGTTTCTTCATACACAGTGAGTTGCGTGTTAAAAAAAAATTAAACAAAATACAATAATTTTTTGAAGTAGACCTCGTCCACTATCAGAGGCGAAAGAAATATATAAATTTCTTAATAATCATTTTACTCAGTAAAAATTGTCGTATATTACACACATATCTTTTTTAATATGTTTGGTTTATTCATATCCTTCATAAAAAAAAAATTTAAAGGGTATAATTTTAGAACGACTGAACCTAATTGTTAAGTTTTGTGTGTTTGTTTCACTAGTTTGAGAGAACATAAGGCATTTGTAATAACAAGGTGCAGATTTCGCTAGTGTGGCATGACAATATGTACATTTTACAGATTCGGCGGTGGTCCCGCGGTTTCCCACGCGCACGAATGCGGGGCGTGTGCGCGCGCACAACACAGGTTACGTGCGCGGCGCGAAGCTGAACTCGCCGCGTTTGCTGAACTACATGAGCTCTTCCAGGTATTTTTATCTATATCTACAAAAAAAACCTCTAAATAAAACTGTTAACGGTTTAAAATGCAGAATATTAGTTATTATTAACCTAATTTAACTACGACCCGACCTTTCGTATGCTTACCAGCAATCTTAGTCACTTAAAATTGCTGGTAAGCATATGAAATCTTAGTAATTAAACTAAATATAAGTTAACTAATATATTTCGCGTTTTAAACAATTAAAAGTGCTTTATTTAAACATCCACTACTCGCAATACTGATAATAAACCCTTTTCAGTTTTGTAAATGTTAAATAAACTCTCTTGAAGCAGACTTCTAGCCCAGCTGTGGGAACAAATTCTGATGTTAATATAATTACAGGAGCAAGATCAGCCGCGCTCGATCTACGCGATCAGTATGGCGTGGTTCCGCCAGTGGCAGGCCTTCGTTAGAAACAAGACGAGGCACCCGCCGCCGCCCGTCGACAATACGCCCATACTTATCAAACAGGTACGTACATACAAAAATATTGTTTTAAAAGAAAGAAAAAAAATTCATGACACAAAACTAAAAAAAAGAAACAGAATACTCTAAGCTAACGTCGGGATTCAGACTCAGCTCAAAGGTCTAATAAATAATGCGAATTAAAAATTAAGTATTTCAACCAACTGTCCATAATATATAGTAATATACAGTTCTATTGGAGAGTTTAGAATTACTTTGGAAAAAGCGTATGCTTACATGACTTTAAACATCTTATTGATTCTTTTTTTTAACTCAATTTTCCAGGAGCTAGAAGGCACAACCAAATATACACTAAAACCAGGCTCCGACCACGCACAGCTTAGCGAAGAGCTATGGCGGTTCTTCGTTGACATCTACGGGGGTGGGCCTGAAATTCGTCTCAAATCGCCAGTTCCCTCCCCACCTGAAACCGAAAGGGCTAGACGCCTCTCCAGAAAGTATTCGGAGTCAGACCGAGAGGAGTATTGCACTAAGTCCAACTCAGAAATGAACATACGCGATACGCTACACAACGAACTGCAGAAGAACCAGTCCCTGCAAAATATCAATAGAAGGTATAAAATGAGTTTAGCCCGATGTGCACGCGATTACACATTTACATTAAACGCTTTTAACGGTTCGAAACCCGCAAAGGCTGCTCCGTCGAACCTTTTATATTTTGTTTTAAACCGTTAAAAATGTTTTATTCAAAGATGCTTCAATATTTATCATCGATAATTTGATTCATGGTTTAAGTACCTCTTGTCTTATCGACTTTAGTTAAGTTATGTTTAATTTATACGTCTTTTAACTTTGTGATATAATTCTTTGTTAAAATACTTCTTCGTTTCAGGTACAAGATACTTCACGATTCTGACGAGGAAATCAGCCAATCTTTCTACAAGCGGCACCAAATCAACGGATTCGACTCGGACGAAGATATGGGAAATCATTTGGAGAACGGCCTAGATAGTTCAGATAACAATCTCTACAAAACAGACTCGGAACTGCCGAGCGTCGGTACCACTTCGCTGAAGAACAAAGCTCGGGGTGGGAAAATGCGGCGACACAGGCGCAGAATCGTCAAATGATTATCGTCGTTGCGCTCGTTCGTTTTTTGATCCGGATGACATTCCTATTCTAGGGTTGCCAACGCGTAGTAATTATATTTTCAACTAACATTTCGTGTTCTACTTAAGTTTATATGCAACGTATAGCAAGGATAAGTTATTTATTTTATTAATTTAAAATCGCTATAAAAAATCAGCCCGTTTCAAGTCGGACTCGGTCGCGAAGAACGTACCATTACATAGATGACAGTAAAACGAGTTTTTTGTACGGGGCCTTTCTTAAATTCTGATTTTACGCTGTTTAGTAAACCGTTGACACAGTGTATTTGTAATCATGTCTTCACCGTAGGGTACGGAACCATAAAAATTATATTTACGCCGTATTACTAGTGTAACACGTATGTCGGAAATGACGAGTAAATTTTGTTGTATCGGTATATAATTGTTGGCAACCCTAATCTAATATCTAGTACATTCTAGTATATTCTCGGTGACCGGGGCGTGCATTTATAAAACGGGAATCTTTTTTTTATATGGAACGCGGCTGAGTTTCAATTCCGTTTGTACTACATATATAGAACAGACATCAGTACATTGTTTTGTCATTTTCTCATATTTCCCTATTAGTTACCTGTTATCATTGCTCTTGCTTAAAACCTGTTTTTTTACATTTATTTCTTTTCTTCCTTTAATAACAATAGTTCGCATTAATAAAGCTAATCGTATTTTCTACATTTGTATCATTACGATGTTATTGGTTCTTTTGGCGAAGTAGTAAAATAATAATTATAAAGAGACGATAAATAATTTATAAAATTACTTTAAAGTTTTTCTATATATCTGTAACTTGTGAAGTCCCTAAATATTGAAATTCATACCGTAACATGTATTACAATGGCGTTTATTGTACTTTTGTAAAATATTGTAAATACTAAATGCAAACGTGTATTGTATAACACTGTCGTCTTGGGATTTTATAACAATAGTTGTTGGTATTATTCGTACCAAAGAGGTTGATTTAATGTTCGTATTATTTAATAATCCCATTTGTACCACAACTTTTCTGAACGCTTCTATTCAAACTCAGCCGCGCTCAAATCTATCGACTTTCTACAAAATTTGTCGAAGGTTTTTTAGTATTTTTAGTACAATTTTAGTTCAAATTCAGATAGAAAGAAATTTAGGTACCTAAATGTTCATATTAACGAACGTGTATATTTTACGAATGTATATGTAAAAGTTTATAATGTTAAATGTATAAAATTTCATGTTTATAGAACTTGCATTTCTTTTGACACCAATGTACCGTGGGTAAGGTATTTATTTTGTTATTTCTGGTTCTAAGTCTATGTGTTATTTGTTAATCGATAGATCACCAATAAAATATATTTCAACTAGGCAAGGCTTTCTTTAAGACAACAATTTAAGTACAAATTATTATTATTTTAATTTCTGCTGTATTAAGTTTGCGATCAAACATCGTAGGTACCATCCCCAAAGTCATTCCAAGTGGTCATGGTTTCCTCTCATTCAAATTAGAGGACGTGATTGAAGATTAAGGGTATCCGAATATCGCATTTGGCGCCAGTATTTCGCCGACATGATGTTGGCAATCAAGAAAAATATCGCACAAACGATAGACATTTCGGTTCAACGACCTGATTAAAAAAATGGCTACGTAATCAGTTTTAATTTAGTCTCAACAACTGGCAGGTTTTGTTATCACTTTAAATTAAACAAAACGTGATGTCCAAATTTTATTACAATGAAAATGACGTTAAATTAGATATTAACAGGTACAAATGTTTGTTGGGAACGTACAAAATAATTTTCGGTCCGAATCTGCCGGCGCGCAATTTAAGAAAGATTTCGCGAAGAGGGAGCTGATAGGTATGATTCTTCAGAAACGATCATGTTCTAAATATTATCGTAATGATAATGGCTTAAAAACTAACAGACATCGTAAAAACTCGAATAAATTCCAGTTATCAATGAATTCATTCTTGCGGACCGGCAATAAACTATTATCAAGTTACATACTGTTTAACATGAATTAAAAGGGAAACTGGTTTCACATAATTCAAATACCTAATCATTATCTTTCTCTGTTTCATTCATTTTAACATTTTCAATAAATATACCAACTATGTGAACTCTTCAATGTTTAAAATTGCTTTATATGAAAAAGCGTAACAAAAATAGATCATTTCTATTAAAAATATTGTAGAAATCTAATATTTTTTACATATTAATAAAAGTTTACATTAATAAGGCCCCTAGGCTATGTACCAAATCACGAGTTTTTCTATGGAGCATTACATCTTTTTTTTTTCGAGTAATATATGTGTTTTAAAACTGTTTCGCTTGATTTATTGTAAATATAATATCCTAATTGTAAAGGCCACACGTTTTATCCATTCGTTGCTGATAACCAAATCTTACGTATTTAAGTTACACAATATAAATAAAAAAATATTCGAACTCTTAGTTGTAAACAAGAATAAAAATTATTTGGTTTTACACAACATTTTAAAATATAAATACAAACGAGTCACACTCTTTAGATACGTATTTTATAAAAGAACTGGAAAATAATAACAATTATGCTTAAATCTTCAATAATAAAGGAATAATGAACACTTTCAGTGCTATTTAAAAACAATTACTGGATAGGTACGTAGTGCATAGTTAAACTATTATATTTCAGTTAAATAAATAAAAACTTAAAAAGTTTTCTGTAAAATCGGAGTAAAACACGCCAACGACACAAGTGCGAGACGTATTTATTTACGTCAAAAATACCTCTAGGTGTGCCTAGAAAAGGTAGAAAGCCTTGGTAACAATCAGAAAATGCTTTTAAACGGGCAGTAACACAGTTACTACATTGGGGCAGATTTCATAACTATTCCGAGGCATTTGAGTATAAAAATTGACTTCTTTAACTCGATTAATTTCAAAATTGATTATTAATACATTTTTAAATTCAATAAGTCATACATACAGCATGTTATACATTTGCCCAGGGCATCGACAATCAGAAAAGATAAGTTTTTACAAACACATTAACATTTTTAGAAACAGTTTTTTTATGTATAAATTTATAAAATACCAGATTCAGATTGTTAAAGACATTTTACGAAACGTGAAATTCTGTTTTATGTGAATGACTAGTGAATGGGCTTCTACACTGCTGCTCGAAAATCAGAAAGTACCTACATAGCGAAATAATTAATAAATAACCTTGATTGTAACTTAACTTTTTTTCTATATCCTGTGGACATAAATGCAATGAATTTTAAAAGTAATGAAGATGAGAATTGATATTGATTCTATTTTTTTATCCTCATCTGAGCAGGATTGTATTGTTCTATTTATCAAATAAAAAACGACAGCTATACTTAAAATATACGAAGCAAAATGATATATATACTTATAGTATAACAATTTTTTCGATTTAGCACACACTAATTTTAAAGATAACACGATAACTTTTGCCAGCCCTCCTTTAGTTGTATTTCTCATAGAAAACTCCTTTTCTCACTAACCTAACGTATTAATTCTTAACTTAACAATAAGTTGCAATTGAGGTAGATAAAATTTTTTACAGTCCTATTAACCTAAAAGATTAGAAATATTTACATATTCAGTAATAAAGCGTGTACAACATTTGATCTCGCCGTTTTTTAGACGCCATACGTAAACCAAATTGTAAGTCTACATTAACACTTACTAAAGTAAAAATAGTGTTCCTACAGAACATCGATATTGTACTGGATGTTTCTTAATTAATTGTATAATTAAATTTTGCACAACGTAGGCTGGATTGGACACAAGTCATAAATGGTTTCTTGCTTATCGATGCGGGCGACTATAAATACAAATACCTTTGTATTTTTTGTAACATTATCAAAATATAAAATAGATTCCTGCAACAAGATTTCCCTAACTAATTACATTTTGGTACAATATTCATAAAATATGCCAATTTCTTATCAAAATTAATAATGAACACTTTGTCTTAAAAGAGAAAATTCAAGTTTTGTAAGGCCATATTATGCATACAGTTTTAACACAATGACATTACAAATAAATATGAATTTTGGCACATTATTTTGTTTTGAAATTGATGAGACTGCTTTCTATGCTAAGGAAGCGACACAAGCTTCTGAGGTATTGAGACTGATCGGTCGCTTGGGACCGTTCAGCTTAAAATAAACATGAGGTCTAGCTATTGCACTTATATGCAAGAATAATTCCTCTGGACACAACATGGATGGTACAGCAATCAGGTATAGACCGACAGATCTGATGTTGACACCTTCATAAAAAAACTAATCAAAAAGACATACACTCTCAATATAATTCTCACGCAGAAAACAGTGAACCACTCTAAAACATATTATACAATTCACTGCTTTCGAGAGCTGCATGTCTTCACACAGATCCTTCTCATTAAATAATTTTCCTAAAGAATAGTTCAACGCCTTCAACTATCCATTCCGAGGCTCACGAAGTTGGTCCCATTTATACTTCATAAATGTCATACATGTAAACTTAATAATAATTTACAATTCCGAAAGTACATACACGACTAGATAGCATATTCATGTAGAATTCGGAAACATTTTGGTATACCTGAGAAAAGGCAACACTGTTTACCTACAGTGTGCCTGTAAGACGGTGATTACATTTGCTTATTCTATATACCAATGTTACATAGTGAGGTAGCTGTTATAAATGCGAAATAGACATTTAGACACTAATGTGGAGGGGGCGGAGGTGGTGGTGGTTTCGGACTTTGTGCAGTTTGAAAGGCTTGAGTGAACGCAGGTAGCCTTTGCTGACTACGACTACTCTCTTCACCTGCATATGTTGGATCACTGTCTTCTAATAAACCTAACATTTCTCTTGACAAACCAGATGGGCCTTCACCAGGATCAAGCAGCAGAGAGTCAACATTCCCAGACCCAAAATGCACATTAACATCACTTAATTGCTGTGTTGTAATGAAAGGCAAGTCAGTTGGCGTTGGCGAGTACGTAGGAGGCACAACATAGACTACAGGATATTCAAGCATTTCATTTGGTGACTGTGGCTCTTCTATCTTTATATCTAATGATGGTTCCACTTTTACTTCTAACGCAGGTATCTCTACAATTATGTCACAAGCGGGCACACTCATTCTACCTTCGGGCTCATCCTTTGGTGATGGAGATTCCCAAATATCAAACTCTGAGCCAGTAATGGGAAATTCAGTAAAGGTCTCCTCAACTACATTTGATACTTCTGGTAGAGGATCTCGAGAAGTACCAACCGCTGCAGACTGCCATGTTTCATCTGGATGAGCATTCTTCACATGCCTAACTAAATGATCCTTGCGCCCAAACTTATGAGGGCAATAAGGGCATAAAAAATCACGCCTACCAGTATGTACTACATTATGCCGCCTCACATCTTTAGCTGTGAAAAACCTCCTATCACAATGATCACATGTATACTTCTTATCGGTCTCACTTTTCACTGTCCTGCTTCCAGTGTGGACCTTAAGGTGGTACACAATGTCTTTCTGAGTTGTGAACACTTGATCACAGATCTTACATTGCAAGTTCCCCTCTTCAGCCGAATGAAAGGCTGCATGCTTACGATAACTAAGTTGAGACGTATATGATTTCCTACAGCCGGGCCTCTCACATACATATTGCATTTTAAAAGGGTTGTGTACAGTACTGACATGGTTTGTAAGATGATCTTTGCGACCAAAAGTTCTTTTACATACAGTGCAAGCAAAGGCTTTTGCATCATTGTGTATAGCACTGTGCCGGACGAGCTTAAATTTAGAATTGAAGCGTTTATCGCACAAATCGCAAGAAAAGGGAAGCTCACCGGTATGAGACAAGATATGTTGGCTAAGCTTACCAGGGCTCGTGAACTTCTTATTGCAGATGGTGCAAGCGTGCCGTTTCGTTTTGTCGCGACGCGGGCGGCTAGGGCGGCTCGGACCGGGCTCGCTGGAGCCGCCCGCCTCCTCACTCTTCTTCGGCGGCAGCGTCGGCACTCGCCTCGCGACCTTAACAGTGCGGAACGTGTGCTTGACGCTACGGCCGCTGCCACCCCGCGCGACGTACACCAGCTTTGACGGCAGCTCGGAGGCGGGTGGTGCTATGAAGGTCTTCTGCGCGGCGGGCGCATAGCTTCCCGTCGCCTCCGTATACTCGGAGCCGCCCTCCTCGTCTCTTGGGTTCGGTGGTGGACTGGCCATCTCGCGCTCATTTTTGACGCGCTTCTCTATGTCGCCGTTCGTTTATCACGCGTCGATGTCGTATCGGGTCCAGAGTAGCGCTGGTTCGTCGTGATGGCAGAAAACATTTCTGTCACATTGACGATCTGGAAGCCCTTTTTCGTATTCGTGTCACATGGTTCTCGCGGAATCCCTGGAGTGCGTCGTAGTTCTGTATCGTACACTGACTTACGCTCGACTTAAAACACTTTAGTTCGAACGACGAAAGTGTAAAGGGAAAGAAAAACGAGGAAAAATCGTCTTTTTTATGGATATACGTAGCGGTTGACAAGAAATGTCAAAATAATGAAGCCAAAGAGCAAAACTGAGTGTCAAAATAATTCAAAAATGAAAAATTGCGGAATAGTCGACATTAGTTTAGTGTTGCCACTTATTAAGTACTTAAACCAAAATTTAATATCTCTTAAAGTTTTTATATGATGACTTGACATGAATTACAGAAATTATACTTTTATCTTTTATTATTACTATCAGAACCGCTAAAAATAAAAAATAATAACCAAATCAACTATAGTCCATTTATTCTTACGAGACATTTTTGGTAAACAAACACATAATGTTCAAAAAATCGTTTTTCTCACAAGGTTTACATTGATACACACTAAAAGCACTTTTAGACACTGGATTATGTATTAAACTAAAGAATTATCTCGAATTCACTTAATAAAAACCCTAATGACATGCTAAAATTAATAAAAATCCTAAAAGTGAGTTTACGAAAATAGACAGATTAAAATTTCTTAAGTTTGACATTTACGGAAAGCAAAGTTAACGATAATAAAAGCGAGAAATACAATGCGCGATCGCGCATTGTATCGTAACTTTTATTTTAAAAAACAAAAATAGAAGTAACAAAGTGTTATTAAATGTTTATTGAGATACAACAATGAATTAAGTACAGATTTAATTGCTTTCCTCACTATCATTACTTGACTCCTCGGAGACGTGGATAATAAATTGAAGGTCGTCGGATGCTGCATCCATAATCCCATCTAATTTCATAATTTATTTTCTTCTTCAATTATATGGTTTATTGTTTTTTACCACGTGTCCGCTTCTATTTGTTTCATGCCTTCTTTTATTAGTTTTTGAATTCCAGCCATTTTGAAACTTTTATTATGTCTTGTACACAAGACTTCAAATCGGCCCAAATGTGTTCGATTGGATTTGATTCGTATTGGTACGGCGGATGACGTAGGCTTTTTTCTTCGGCCATTTGAGCAATATTTTTTTTATTGAAATCGCTTCGCGTAAATTTCGACAAAAGTTGGGCCTTAATTTCACTTTTATCAAATGCAATAAATACCCGTTACGTATGTCATAAAAAAAGCTACGAAATGAATGATGAGACAATTTCGCAATTATATTTAGCAATATGTTGTTATTAGTAAATTTTTATTGAAATCTATTCTATTCCACGTTTTTACATATCAAACGTTAATATATATAAACACAAAAGTTATGTTTTTGAGTATTAATTGTGTCTATATTATATTAATTGGAGTTCAGAGTTAATAAGAGAAAAATCAAAAACTATATCGCAATAATAGTAATTTTTTATATTGAGATCGTTCTTCTATATCTATCTATATATAATCGACGATTCTTTTTCCCTGTGTCATCTGTGGCATCAACAACACTCTATAAAAGGCTTCACTAGTTTTCTCTGGTTTGAAATCGGCCATATTGGTTGTGGTCTTGTGCCAATTGAGATAAAACCGTCTGTAAATGTAAATTAAAAGTTAAAGCTCAGCGATTTACATATTAACTTTTGCGTATGTCAATGTCAGTTATCAGTGTCATGTCATTTTCTGCAACTAATTCTTATTTCTTAATCATTATTCAGAAATAACCTAAAATAGTTTTATATTAATAAAACATATTTTAATTTTTAAATATAGATCTACCTTAAAACCTTTGATAACTGAATATTTCAGTGTAAGTACGACTCTTATTATGAGGTGTTATTTGGCTCTTCGTAGTGTATCATGAATATATCAAATGATAAATATTTAACGAAAAACTAAAAATAATAGCCCTTGTGATTATCAGCTACCGTAATGTTTACGACTCTTGAATAATCTACGATCTTACGATTCTTTTATATGCAAGAGGGACTAAAGGATAGTGGACAAAATAAAAATGTATTTGTCCCATGCCATATAGGCTGTTCCCTATAATTCACTTATAAATAGTTTTACTTTATTTAAACCACATTTTAGCCCATAATGTCGGAAGCAGTTGTTGGTTCGGCTCCTACATCGGGAGGAGCCTCTGCAACCAGCGTTGCTGAAGAGCAACGCTCAGGCACAGTTGCTGGTTCAGGGTCAGGGACCGGATCAGGTATTATCACTAACCATTTATCCACAGTATATATCTTAATTTTTAACCTCCCTATGTGGTTTTTTGTGTACTGTATGTAATATATTAATGAATAATAATACCTTTTTTTCTTCTATTAAAGTAACATAAAAATTACTTCTGATATCTAAGTTCAGTTATTCATACTTATGTACAATATAATAGATGTTATAATATTGTTACGTCTATCTTTAGTTTGCGTGAGTAGTAAACATTTAAATAAAACACTTTGACGTCAGAGACATCCTCCATCTTTAGTCTCCCGGGATCATGGCTGCTGCAAAGCATCCAAAACGTCGAGCCGAAGTTAAACATAATTTATAATATATCGCGTTTTAAACCGTTAAAGTGTTTTATTTAAATTGTAATGTTATGTTTAAATTATAATTTTCTACTATTTTAGGCATTAGCATTGACAAAGCCCGCTTTTCTCAAATCTCTCTGGTCGGATGAGATTATACTGTATGCTCTAATAATATTTGTATTTTGCTTTCCAGTTGGATCCGAGGAAAAAGTCTATGGTGGTTGTGAAGGTCCTGATGCTATGTATGTTAAGTTGGTGTCCTCGGACGGACATGAATTTATTGTAAAGAGGGAACATGCTCTAACATCTGGTACAATTAAGGCAATGCTGAGTGGACCTGGACAGTTTGCTGAAAATGAGGCAAATGAAGTCAACTTCAGAGAGATTCCGTAAGTTTTATAGAATCACTACCCACACAAGTGATGTTTGACACTATTTTATAGGAGGTAAAGCTTCTACTGTACTAAGTCACTAGGGGAGTAAAGATGCTTTTTAATTGTTCATTCTGTTAACACAGAAGTACCTGGATATAGTCCCTTAAGTGGACATATTTTTGTGACTGTTACAATGATTAACTTCAACCCTCATTATTATATATTTTTTTGTGTAAAACAAGGTTTGCTTCATCAATATTGTCAGTTGGATTACTAGCACAATCTGCTAGGAGACAGGTGAAATAGTCAGCTTATAGTGTTGACTAATCAGTACCCAGCCCTCTATCCGTGTCCCCAATTGAAAATAACAATAACACTAGCCCAATATCAGTTAAAAATGAACAAATTTTAAAAAGTTTCCTTTTATGGCAGATTTAAAAAGTACACCTTCATTTCTTTAACAGTTCCCATGTGCTGCAAAAAGTTTGTATGTACTTCACGTACAAGGTCCGTTACACAAACTCTTCAACAGAAATACCAGAGTTCCCAATTGCACCAGAAATCGCCCTGGAATTACTTATGGCTGCTAACTTCCTCGACTGTTAAGGCATTTATTAACGTGGATTGTTGTTGTGTTTCAAGTGCTTTGTTCACCATTGTGTCAAAATGGGAAAAAGAATAATACAAGTCATTTTTTGTTTCAATTAAACGCTTTCTTAAAATGGTCTCCAAATTGAGTGGTTATTTTTAACAGTACTTTGGCTATATACAGAATTTTGATGTTAGTTTTTGTAAATAATGAATATCTCTCTATTTATATGAAATTATTTTGCTTTTTTTGTATGCTCTGGACTTGTTTCTTATTTCAGCGAGATTTAATTGCGGTTACAATAAAAACTAGTAGAAGGATGCATGTAGTAGCTATTTACCAGACCTAAAACATTGATCTCAATATATTGTCTCAAAAAAGGAGAATTAGACAATTACAAGAGTATCTCTGTTTTCTTAATCATAAAAGTTCATTCTAGTTGGACAGAAGAAAACATAACAGGTATTGAAGGAACAATATTTACCTACCCCTTTTGAATAAAGACGTTGTATATTTTCTTCCTAGCAAAAAGGTATATTATAACCACAACACATTTTTTAACTATGTAGTAACATACTTCTAGTCCAAAAAGGTTTGAACAGCGCAATTATTTAATGTAACTAAAATTACTGATTTATAAATAAATCTTACGAAAAAGTTACGTGTTTCAATTTGAAATAATTTTTGCATTCACAATTTAACAAATACATAATATTGTAATCAAAAGGTAAATTATAGCCCTAATCTTTGTAGATTTTAAAGTAGGTATCTTCAGATATAGTTGACACATTAAGAATTGTAAATACTACTTACAATAATGTGTCTCTTTAAATATCTTACAAACTTCTTGTTGAATGAATGAGATGTAATAAAACAGAAGAGAGTACGGTTTGTCCTTTATTCAGTTGCGTAAACAGAACCCAGTTCACAGTATACATAAAATAATCTCGGGCAGCCCACAACTACTATTGCATACAATTCACTACGCTTATATTACCATACTTTGGAATGACATCCTGTTAAAAACTAATTGCGTAAAACAGCTTTACATACATCGAAGAGTAATAAATAAAAAATCTGAACTAATTATACAACTTATATTTATAACGCTACGAATTCCGTGAGATCTTAGCTTACAATAAAACTTTGGATAATTATTAAAATAATTATGGACAAGGTTATGATTTGTACATTTTTACAAAGAAAATGTTTGGCTGCGGTCTCCTACGGCACAGTTATACTCTATTGAACCGTACATAACTCAAGACGTCTCGCTCACAAGACCTTCGACGTCATACTGGACATTTTTGATATGGAATTACTTATTTAGAGTTCATATACTGTTTACACCACGTGTGTGAGAGAGACAACAATTTATTTCCAAAATACGATGCGATATATGCAACTTGACAACTCTTCTAGGAAACCACAGCCTTAGTCAAATACTGTGTGACGTCAGAACTAAATGCGATCTTGTGACACTGTATACCTTAGTCATTAAAAATATACACATTAACTAGCGTTAAATACATTAACGTCTAAAATAATACTTCACGATAAATGTTTAAACAATTTGTATAAAAATTATTGTTTTCCACGGAAGATTTCATTTTGTATATAATGTTTTATTGTGAAATTATATGCATGATGTATAAGGAATGTGTTTTTTGAAATTCAGGTTTAATTAAGAGGAATATGGATTTTGATGTACGTAGATAATGAGTAAATAGATATGTAAATAATTTCAAGCAACACGATGATAAAATTTGAAGCACAACAATGCGGATGATATGTTAATCTTTATCTAGAAGTTACTATAGATATTCGCACATATCCATTTTGTATTAGGCCAAATGCGAATTCAGTAGTCCAAAGCTACATTTACAGACAAGTGGCTAGTCGATATTCTACAAAAGCTACATCGCTTGTAAAACGCAAGTAAACGATAATCACAAGCAATGTGCCATTGCATACCTATAGCAGAATTGGGACCCTAAGTCTTTCTGCTACTATCTCTTACAGCACCTAAAAATCTCTTTTTTATATTAGGCAATAATTAATCGAGGTATGTGCGAATATAGTATGAATATATGATATTGGTTACAGACACAAATAAATACTACACTGATGATGAATGAAATCTACAAGCATAATATTTAAGTAGTACAAAACTGGGGGTTAAGTCAAATATTTAAACAGAAATCAGTACTAAACGAAATGTTTCGGCCGAATACTTAACCCAATTAAAATTTTCTTTAAATAAAGATAATCGAAATAATATTTTAATTAATGTTACTTTCAAGTACTTGATCTAGAAAAAACACTACAAAAGAATTTGTAAACACATACTTGGCATTGGGAGTAGCTACAAAAAATATTGAGCAATGGATAGTCTTTCAAGCTTCACACTACAAGCATACTTCGAACACAAGTTAAGTAAATGCTTTTGTCAGGTAAGTACTGGTCTATCATAGCCCTCTGTATAGCAGAACACGAAGATAAATTCAGCAAGATATAATGCCAAGGGACCAAAACATCATACAAGTTTGCGACCTGCATGTGTCGAAAGCTATGTCATATAGTTGGGAATTAGACCCCACAAAGATCCAGGAATGCGATTGGACGGGTAATCGATTAATGAAAATCGCTGAATTCATCTCAATATCTACCAAACTGCATTAAACTACAAGCGAACTAAGCGAATCTTCACCCTTGATCGGTGTGAACATTTTGCTCAAGTGGAACCATCTTCTTGCTAATCGAGTAGATCGGCGGCGAATCGATTTTACCGGAAATCGCTTGAACTCGACTCTTGACCGATTCGATTGGCGCGGTATCGATTCTCGAATCGTCGACCGATTGCGAATGTTGGAATGATACGCCCTCGTTACCATAGATGTGTGGTTCCCGAACGTTCCCATACAAATTGTAGTTGTGTATTAGTGTCGATACACGATTCGATGTTACTGGGAGACTGTTGCTTTCCTTCTGGTCGCTTGTTTGAACTGTGCCTTGAACTGTCGTTACCGGTTGGTTGATTTTGAAGTCCGGTTTGATCTCGTCTTCTTGTATGGAAGACTGAGTGCTCAGAATTGGGTTTTGGGGGGTTAATGTTTGGCATTGCGGTGTGTTATTCTGTGTGAGGGTTTGATTTTGAGGGTTGTGGAGGGAGGGGGAAAGGTCTGCCTGTTCTAACGCGGCTCGCCAGTCGATGTGCGGATATCGTTCGCGGATACAATCTACTACGTCGAGTAGGTTCTTTGCATCCATCGCGAGGACATGGGCGGCTGCTAACATGCTTCTGTGAAAATAAATTATTTGCTGATAACAATATGGTACACAACAATAATTTCACAGGCAGGTTAGGCTAACGAAACGGAAATTCTCTTCTATTTGCTTAATTAGATGTTGTTCTTATTATACTGTTTAAATGTTTAAATACTCGATGTCTAGACAGATTATATCAGGAAATAAAACTAACTTAGTGTACTCATGATGCAGCGTGGTGTTGTGGTAATGTATTGCGACCCGCATTGCTTCCACCAGACCTGACATATCTTTACTGAGGACCTGATGCGCCATTTCCACTTCCCTGGAAAATTAATCGTCATAGTAGTGATCATCAAAACACTACCTGTTTTCTATCCAACAAATAACGAATAAATAGGAGGAGCTATTGAATTTTGTTCATGCTTGAATAATTGATTTAGTTAAAAACCATTAATAAAAATCTGATGCAAAAGTAGATTGTAGACAATATGATAGGTACACACTAATAAGGTCGTGACGTCACTAGCCGTAGAGCAGCGTTAGTTCGCAAAATTAGCGTTTAGGCGCTAAATTTAAATGTTGTATTGAATTTAAAAATACTTTTCTAGGGTTTCTTAACATCTACCAACTAAAAAGTAAAAAAAACATTTAAAAAATGAGTCAAATATTCAACAAAATAACTAAATATTCATTAATTACAATCTTTATGATAAGACATATTTATAGGCAAATGTTATCACCGTTACCTTTGTGCCGCAACTGGATACGGCGGTACCAGGGCATCAACAGTAGCGCAGAGTTCACGCAAAGCCGCACCAACGCTGCGCACAGCTTCCAAGACTCCGGCCGGCGATACGGACCGGTTCGCGGCGCTAGCCAGCCGCATCACGCACCGAACTACTTCAGTTGTCGCCACATACACTGGTTCTTTGTTACCGCTGGATGTGCTTGGTGTTTGTTTCTATATAATTGAATATTATGACGCTCATAAATTGTATGTAAATATAATTAAACTTGAAAACATTTAACGGTTTAAGACACATAATCTTTTGGATAACTTATTTACAATTTATTTTAAATACGGCCCGACGTTTTGGTTGCTTTGTAGCAACCGTGGTCATGAGGGCACTGAAAATGGAGTGTCCCTAATGTCACATCAACTACGCTAGCGCCATCTGTCTTCTCGTTCTCAATTTGACTGTGACTTAAGGAACACTCTCCACCTTCAGTCCCCCGTGCTTCCGCAAAGCATCCAAAAACGTCGAGCTTTGGTCATGTGAAGAAGCAATTAAATATATCCTAATTTACCTTATCATCGCTTGTTGGTTTATCTTTGGGTTTCACGGTGTTAGCTGGACTGGTTTCTGCTGAGTTTGTCACTGTATCAATACAATTTGTTTTAGATTAAAAAAAACCTATTTATAAAAAGATGTTGCAAATATTTTGGCATTTTTACTTAAGTAAATTTAGTATACCTGAATGTGTCTGACTAGAAGGTTTATCACGAGTAGAGGTCGCTTCAGTTCTGCTGTCACTCGTTGACTGACTTTCATCTGTGCTAGTTGTGAGCTGCACGTTCGATAGCCGCTTCTAAAAATGATATTAAATAAATTGGTAGGTTTTACTTAGGTATTTGTCCAGATTTATTGTCGTCAGGATCGTCAGGGTTAAAAGCTGAGTGGCATCTGTTTTTAGAGTTGATTAATGTAATGTAAGTCTTTTATGTATACAAATATTTGATTTATTTCATAAGTAAATTGAGATTTATGTGTGTATTGCTACCGTAAGTTTATTTTTTTTATGATACTAGATAAAAATACCATATAGAAAAAAAATATTAAGGACACCTTTTATTTTAATTTATTTAAGTTACAAATTTTAATTAACGCTGAATGCTTTTTAGATTATCAAGTTATTTTATATAATTTACATATTAGGATATTGACAATTTTATACACGCTTACCAAATTGTCTTCTTGCATCTGCAGCCATCGCCTATCTTCTTCGCTCTGGTGTTGCTGTCTCGCAAGCTCCGCGAGAAGGCGCCGTTCCACAGCCTGCTCGGTATCGAATTCCGGACTCTATATATATATAAAAAAAAAGGTTATTTTGCCACCCTATATTATTTCAAACTAACAATGCAGTTAGTACCCATTTGTACATCCAATTAGTTTTCAACGAAGAGGTTGAACTTTGAAGAACGTTTTTTATGTATAGACAATATATTCTTTAGATAGAAATTGCCATGTGTTACTGTATTTTTTTTTAATCAGTGATAAATAACTATTATTAAGTTATTTTAGGTGTTAATCCTTTACCTTAGAATTTAGTTTGGCTACCAACGTCATTGTTAGTTCCATATATCGAAAATTATGTCAATTGGGAAACCACATGTGCACTTATCACTTGTCATTTGAAAATGTATCGTTTATACGCTTAAAATGATCTGTATCATAAGCTTGCTAACTACTAAACAAAATAAATCATAAACATAATAAATAGCAAGTTATAAAAAAAATACATAATTCCACACATGTGATCTCAATAAGAAAATAAAAATGAAAACCAAATTCTACCGGAGAAACCCAATGGACACAAACTCTGTAAAAAAAAGGAGATAACTTTAAAATCCAACAAAAAATAAAGGAATACAGGAAGATTGTCGGAATCATTTACATACAGTATCGGTAGATCGATCTGCAATTGCCCATATGTACAAATTAATTAGTAACTTTCTCCTCAAGGGTACACAATATCTTAAATATATACTTTCCGAAGATAAGACATGCGAAAAGATTCAATCTACGGACGCAAACAAAAATGATCAAGCATGCTATACGCCAAATAACTTGAAATCACCTGCGCTGCTTGCGATGACGTCACAACGGGCGAACACTCCTGACGCGACGCATATATCGTTTGCGCATCCACTGCGGACGCGGAAGTGAATTGAGGCCGGCTCTGGCCTTGAAAGCCCGCAGTGGACGCCATCTGACTAATCGCCTGCGAAGACGACACTTGCGGCCTATACGACATAGGTTGGGGGCCCTGCACGACATTTTGAGTACTGAAAATCTGTTGAGGGTACGACATTGGCTGTATCACGCCCATGGGAAAGCCCTGCGGCGACGAGGGGGGATAGACTTGAGGACTGGCCGAACGGAAATGACTAGACTTCTGACTAGGTTTCGCTGGACTTTGGTACGGAACGCCCTGAACAACGCCCACTGGGACGCCATAAGTCGACGGGTGTGATGCGGCCATGTTGATGGGGCGATACTGCGGTTTGAGTCCCGCCTTGTGAGCAGCGATGGCCGCGCAGCTTTTGACGTTGTCGCCGCCAAAATCATATATCTCCTCCACTAAAGGAGGGTCTGGTTGTAGACGCATTTTATTAACTACACTAGCGGCCAATTGAGCATTCAAAGCGCCCTGAACGGAGAATTGACCTATGTCCTGTTCTCTACGGTTTCTTGGGGGAGGTGAAGCGGGGACAGAGTGCTGCCTTGTAAAAGGCGCTATCGGGACCGGGGAGCCCCTATGAGATAGACTGCCTCTTGCATTTCGTTCTAAGGAACCCATTCGTATAGGACCGCGTTCTGTGAGGGTTCTGGGAGTTCTCTCTAACGACCTGACTCGACTGGGGTACGGTTCAGGGGCATCTTCAGTTTTAGGGGATATAGGGGATGGTATGTTCTGACATAAATTATCACAGCTCTCTTTACCGTCAACGACTACGGTCAGAGTTTCTGTTTCTGGAACGACGGGATCGAGTTTGTGGAGTTTATCAGCTGGGATGGGGGCAGTTTGAAGAGGAATGTCTATTATCTCATCGGGTTTGGGATTGGCGATCTTTTCGATGTCGTTCTCCGGTAGAGTTTGCGCGAAGTCAACCGCGACTGTGTTGAATACCGAGGCTGGTGTGTTGTAGGCCTGTGGATGGATCGCGCGTGACTGGTTCTCTCGCAGGAGGTGGGCCAAGACTAGAGGGTTCTGTGCCACGATGTAGGTTTGCGGTCCTCCAGGGGTACCCGTTTTTGTATCTGTGACTAAAATAAATGTTCCGTTTTAATATCACTAAATTCTATTTAAAAACTCACGTAAGTAGTTATATGTTGACAATTAACTTCACTAAAAATACATAAAAAAATGTATCAATAAAAAAGCTAAATGTACCTGCTGAGAGATCCGTAGCCGGTCTGCAGGGTTTCGGCGGCGCATGCTCACCCCAAGAAGCGGCTGCAACACGTCTGTTCTCACGTCTCATTGTATCCCATGCTGTACTGCGTTCTTCTTGGAGTATCTCACTAAAAAGCAATAAGACATCGATTTAAATATGCGTTTAAAATAATACTTTTTCCTCATAATAAAGCAGACCGCCTCTGTAGCCACTGGTATAACGTGTTGCACTGCGTTGAGTGCGAGAGGTCCTGGGCTCAAACACAGGGAAATAATAAATTGCTTCGATCGGGCAGTGCATATTAGTACGAAACCTTATGGTTGAGTTACGCTTATTAATTCTTACCAAAGCGTTTCCTTGAGTTGACTAGCGGTAGGCCTGTGTGAAGGTTCATATGTCCAACAGCGCGACATGAGGGAGTACAACCGCGGTGGACAACGCGGCGGCAACGCTAAACGCTCTCCGTTTTCCAATTTCCCGATCACGTCATTGTTCTTAACTCCACTGAATGGTTTTACACCTAACATGAGAATTTCCCACATACACACACCTGTAATATAGAAAAATCAGGTGTTAAGAATAATAAAATCACGGTAATAGTAAGTAAGTATAATAGTACACATTTAAATAAAACACTTTTAACCGTTTGAAACGCAAAGTGTATTACTTAAACTTATAAATTCCGGTAGTAGATTGAGACTTAAATCTTAATGTGATATGATACATTTTAATATACGTACCAAACATCCAAACGTCTGAGGCGGAAGTGAATCGTCTGAAGTTGATAGACTCCGGGGCCATCCACTTGATAGGGAGTTTGCCTCGAGACGCCTTATAATAAGATTTATCTTCCACCATTTTAGATAATCCGAAATCTGCTAACTGTTTACAAAACAAGTTTATATTAAAGGGTTCAGCTTAGTTAAACAATAACATAGTGTAACCGTAATAATACCCATTATCGCGTAAACTAATGAAAGGAGATGATGGGGATATATAGCAAAAAGTATAAATGACAAACAGATCTCGCCTTTAAAATACCTCCTTTAGTAAGTTGAATAAAAATTAATTATAATTTTATTATTTGTAATACTCATACTCAATACTCTCTGAGTTACCTTAACACAAGTAGGAGTAGAGACTAGAACATTTCTCGCAGCAATATCGCGATGTACGAACTTCTTGCTCTCTAAATAGCTAAGAGCTGTTGATAACTGGTAGATGTAGAGCACTAGTGTACACGTTTCCAATCTGAAATAATACCAAAAATACGTCAAGAGATTGAAAGATCTGTAGCTTACGCGGATCGGAAACAGATGGCGCCAGTCTAGCAGATTTGACTTTAACGCCCTCATTTTTTTGATTTCGTAGCCAATTATTCCAGAGCATCAAAAACGCCGGTCGTTGTTAAGAATAACATAATATAAACCCGTTTTTTTCAATTTATTTATTTATTGTTTAAAAATAATTTATCGAACAATCTTAAATCTAATGAGTGTTAGATTGGTTAGTAACAATTTGATAAATATAAGTGAGAACACATATGTCGTTTAATTAGTTGTTCTAGAAAGAGAAATTAGATACAATAAAATACGAAAGACTTTAAAGGGGAGCATGAACGTCATGCCATGATTTAACAACAGCATATTCATAGCAAATTTATATGAATGTACCTGTGTGCGTTTTGTTGTAAGTACGCTCGCATTTCTCCCAGTGTTGCCAACTCCATCACTATCCAGATTGGCGGAGTACTACATACTCCTACTAAGCCGATTATGTGCGGATGTGAGAATTGTTGCATTATATCTGGCAATAGAAAAATGATATTGTAGTGTAGAAGTTACATAAACTTCTAACAGCTGAAGCTATTAGAAGCAACAATAAGATTATATAAATCTTATTATAGAAGTATCGGTGATCCAGTTTTCGCCGATTGAGCCAAAAACCTTAATGATTACTTTCTTCTACGGCATGGTCCATTTTATCCAAATGCAACTATTTTTAAAACTTGTATTTTACTTATTTTTTATCCCTTTATACATTTATTTGTTTCTTTATATACTTTTACAGGTATTCGCCGGGAATGAAACTGTCTATTTACTAACGAAGAACTTAATCTTCTATCTAACGATTATAAATAAATTGAACTTAAAAATTTAACCTACTAATATGCAGTTACATGGCGGCAATATATAAATTAAAACTTCAGATTTTCAGTCTAAATGGTAGACAGAAAATCTTTACGACACGCTGTGGCTACCGTTGAAGTCCAGTGTCCAGTATATTTTATCATATTTTTGCGCCCTTTATTACTACAAAAAAATAAACAAGTTTACAAACGAGTCAAACTAATAAGTGATCAAAATAATAAGTCGCCAAATACTTACAAGCTTCTTCTAGAAATTTCTCCGCTGTATCCAGGTCTGCGTCCATCTTGCAGGTCTTGACCGCAACGGGCAGTACGTATTCGCCTGTAGGAGTTTTGCCTTGCTGCTTTTGTATTGCGAGTTGACGACGCAGAGATGGGTGGTTGGCTGACGTCACTTTACAAGTTCCTATTGTAATATGTAGGCAAGTTTTATAAAAGTGTATGTGCTAAAATTAAATAAATTCAGCGGAAAATAAAAAAGTTAGAGATATTTTATCAAGATTCAATCAAAACTCTTATAACGATGTAAAACGGGAAATATATTAGTAAACATATTTACAATGTATTTTAACTACGGCCCGACGTTTCGCTGTTAAACTACTGCCAAGTATCAGGAACGTCAAGCCGTGGATCGTTTTGACCCATTAAATGTGTTGTATTTAAATCTGTACTATTCACGTAAATAACAGAAAATATTTGAATTTAAATATTATTTTAACTGAGATATCATAAATAAATAATCTATTTAACATTGACAAAATATGATCACATGGGCGGAAATCGAACCTATGAACACACAATTTCATGATGGAGCTTAATAGTTAGAGCAGCTGCATCGATCAATGTGGTCGTCATTAATTTTTAATATGACAGTAAAATGATACGAAGCTGGGTAACCTTACATATTATACCGACAACACTGACACTAATATCAAAATTAATAAACTAATGTAAAAGCAAAATATGAATATATAATCAACTTACCTTTATGGACATCACCAAATTGTCCTTCACCAATTATTCCAGTCAGTTCTATCTGATTACGAACTAACTCGTAATCTCGAACTGAAACGTTTAAAGGTATGTGTTATAAAATGTATTAAGCCTAAATTTAATTTTGAATTAAGGTTGTGACAAATGGCACCTCGCTGTTACCATGGCAACCGCGTCTTACAATGCGCTTGCGGCGAAAAAGCTAGTAATCTAATAGTAGCAATGTATGACTTATAATCAACTGGTCGAAGGTTCGATCCCCACGCGGTCGAAGAATTTTCTATTAAATTTATATTTTTTAGATGTTCTATTTTTATTACTGGCTTATCACAACTTATATTACCTGCCGGCGTGGAATAATCAGCATCATCATCTACAATTTCCGCGTAATCTTCGGACAAGAGAGTGGCCGTGTTTGCTTCCCACGAACTAGTCTTGCCTTCCGAGGAACTGCTGCTCATTTCCGCTGGAAAAAAGTATTATCATTATAATGTAATTCTAGACTCGAGTGGTTACTTGACTCGACTGCAAATCGTGATGAGCCGGGTGTCAATCCCGAATGGAAATATAAATTTGCTACATGTTTCGATTTTTTCAAGAGTTTTATATAATTCCACTTTTTAACGATTTTAAACGCGAAATATAGAAGTTAACTTAATCGTTCACTAATCCAGTTATCATCAGTACATACACACAGACACTATGAGGTCTAAACACTAGACCAATATGGTGGCTCTTTGACCCCAAAGCGTTAATTAAAGGTTAAAAGGATAATAATAAATAGTTGTGAAATATACAATGTTTGCTGAACGAAACAATTTTTAATTAATGTTTACTTACTTTTACACTGGCAGTTGAGTTGTTTCCAGACAGTAGCTTGTGTAAGACAATTGTTTTAATTATTTTAAAGTTACAAATCTTTTAGTATGAATTGATTTAAAATGTATTGTTGTTCAATGTATTTTAAAAAGTGTATCATGAAATTCCTTGCATTGTATAAAATATTATATATTTATACGTACTAGTTCTGTTCCATAGAGACGTCTGTGAATCTGTGACGAGTCGACAGTAGCCATCTACGAGATCTGCCAGACTTTCTGCAGCCTGTAAAAGATTTTTTTTAATATCAAACATAATGATGCGCTTGATTTAATTATTTTAATGGATGGAATATATTGTGAATACGACTCGCGACCAAGATCTTTCTAAATCACTTTATAATTTTCATAAAAACCAGGTTAAGGCAAACTCAACAATAAATAAGAAAACCAGTCTATGGATTTTAAAAGGCGACAACACATCGTTTTCACATACTATCAAGTGCACCCCATGTTAATCTGTCCTTTCTACCATAAGAGAAAGTTTAGAAGGATAGCTTACCTCAACACTGCTGCAAGTAATTGTTAATGTTTCACTGGCACCTTTCACTCGTAGCTGCAAAGCTGCCTTGCCACACGAACTGCCACTCTGTAATAACACAAAATATGTTGTATATAATATGCATATAAGAATCTGAATATCACAAATTATATACCTTAAATATAAACCAAGGACTCTTGTGAGCAATCTTTGTACCAATACATTTTATATTAGCATGTCATTAGAACTATACTCTATATGTTTTCTTTTTTTTGTGTACAACTTTTAAATCTATATATATATATATATATAAATCTCCTGTCACGATGTTTGTCCGCTATGGACTCCTAAACTACTGAACCGATTTTAAATTAAATTGGCACACCGTGGGCAGTCTGGTCCTACTTGAGACATAGGATAGTTTAGATCTTTAATTATAGTCGCAATTTTATTTTATTGCAAATTATTTGTCTATAAATAATTGACAGTTACAATGGATTGAGTAAGTAATCGATAGATGGCACTGCTATAAACAATAACTTCAGCAACACAGCAACGCGTGGCCGGGACTGCTAGTAAAAATATATATTTTTTTATTATTAAATGTTATGAGATATTTAGAGTCTGTCGATTATAAGAATACAAATTACCTGCGTTTGCGACTGTTGAGTGCAGTTGGATTTGAGTGTCTGTACGGCCACGATATCACAAAATGACGCGATTTTGGTGTATGTAGGCGGTTCCCCTGCCTTGTGAGACACGTATGATATGTCTGAAATTAATGTAAATAAATAGAAATATCAGAAGCGGATACAAAACTTTGATTATTTTATACCAGAGTATTTGCCAGAAACTTTACGTTTGTTGACACTGTATCATAGACCCTTAGAATAAATGAAAAAGTGAAATCCCTCCGTGGGGCATTGGGCGAACACATGTCTGTGTCCGTTTCATTGATAGGCTCTTTTACAGGCAAGTAGTTGATCAGACTCATGTGCCCTGCCCGACCGAAACAATCTATTGTTTCTCCCGGGATGTGTACCTAGGACCTCTCGGGCTTGACGCAATGCTAGGCCACACGTTTAACCATTTACTTGATTGTAGAAATATCGATGTCAATCTCATTATAGGGATATAATGAGATTGACATGGATGATTACAATGTTTTAGGATTAACATGCAATACATGTACCTATGTAAAACATTTTTTTAGATAGCAACACTGTGGTGGTGGTTTCCGTTGATAAAAGTAACGAGACAAGTAGTTCGGAATATCTCTTACCTATATCGGGACCGATAGCCAATTCCACGGGTATAGCCCAGCCCGTACCGAGCGCGCCAGTAAATGTCTCCCGATCATACCCGTAGTGCGTATGCATCGTCTCCAAGTATTTTAACATACATTCTGTGTCACTGAGATTTGATACCTGAAAATAAGAAAGAAAGAAATATTACTTGAAATTTAGTTAAAAAATAGCGTTCCTCCAGCGTTCCAATATACCTATTACTTAATTCTATCCCTAATAAATTTCTCGTGTTAAACCGTTTAAACTGTAATATTGTTTTTTTTTAATTACTTAAAAGGCAAGATTACCTTCTTATATTGTTGTTGTATCGCTTTTTTCAGGAGCTTGGGTTTGATGGCGTCCAATACAGATTTCGGCAGGAACTTGTGCAAGCCAAACTCTTTCTCTAAGTAATCCAGGTTCGATTTCTTATCCAATGAGATGTCTTTGCAGAAGTATCTGAAGATAAAACATGCAATATATAATCGACATTGAAAACTTATTCTTTCTACCATTTAAGCTGTATATTTTAAATTCTTTGGTAATGTATAAAGTACGTCCTAAGCCGCGTTCGATTACTGTGTATAATTATATTTGTTAAATTAAAAATCGATTATAGATTGAAAAAAAAAATCACTCGGGCAGGACTTGAGCCGGCATCCACAGCGTTCCGTACTGTTGCTCTGACCGATTGAGCTACAGAGTCACGTGACTCGTCAAGTTCTGCCCGAGTCGTAATTTTTTTTTTCAATTTAAATCGATTTTTAATTCATATAGTGCCATCATGTGCAATGACTTGTGTAAAATATTAAAGTTTTCAAATGATATTCGTTTTAAAACAATCCTATTTATTTTCTACTTTATTTTACTAACTCTCTAAGATAAAGAAAATATTGCAAAATCTGTATTGTTGTAAAAAAATAATAAAACCTTTTGTATATTTAACCTTAAGTTATTCTACCCAGATATCAAAGAATCCGAAGAATATTATTAGCAGTTGCTAATGTGTGTGTGTAACTACACACTTTACGTTCTTGATTTACACTCACTTGATTTCTAAGCAGCAAATCTGTATCGCCAGGTCTTGATCCACCATTGGATGATTTGCGTTGAGGTAGTCATGTCTCACCTGAAAATTTATAAACACTTATAGTACAACAAAATGATACATTCATGAATTTGTTGAATGTTTACTATGCAGGTACATTTTTTGTTTACTAAAGGCGCTTCAAATGTTTTGTAACAATTAGTATATGTCAAAGCAGAGATAAAAAAGATACCTACTCTTCTTAACTTCCTAGCTAGGTTAGTCTATTCATTCAATATAGTACCTACACTTCAAATACTTAATCAAACTCCGTTAAATACTGTCTTTAATTTACGCGAGTAGCATACATTTAAATAAAACAATTTAACGGTTTTTAAACCGTTAAATTGTTTTATTTAAATGTATATCGCGTTTTAACGCGATATATTAGTTAAACTTATTTAAAAATTATTTTTAACTTCGGCCCGACGTTTCGGATGCTTTGCAGCAGCCGTGGTCACGGGGAAACTGTCTCCCCGTGACCACCGCGTTTTAAACCGTTAAAGTGTTTTATTCAAACTTTGTTGACAACTTGCCAGCGCGAAACGAAACGTTATTATAACTATTACCCGCACCATACAACAACGCGCATGGAAAAAAACTGTGTAAGCAATATTAACATATTAATATAGAAATAATAACCGCGCTAAATAAGCAATATTAAGCGCTGTTGTTGGGGCTGTTTCGGTGGAAAAACCTTGGCGGTTAATCTTTACAGACACGCAAACTCACCTGATCGTAATAGTAATGGAAGGTGACTCGATCCGAGTCGCAAAGGTCTCTGAGGTTGGCCGGAAGGTATCTCACGCGCAGCTCCAATCGCCACTCGCTCGCCGGCCATTTTGTGAGCAATTCTGATACAGGTGTGTCTTGATGTATCCATCGAATCTTGAATTGAAGAAAGAGTTTTTTTTTTATGTTAACAGACAAGCATGCGGTTCAATTGATGGTAGGTGAAATACCTCAGCCATAAAAAATCCAAACAAGATGTGCTGTCGACTTATATTAGCTTTGGATATTCGGAAATGCACAAACTGAAACCAAAACGCGATGCGCGCAGTGCTTCGTGATTAGGGCAGGAATTTCGATATTCCTACCAGCCATATAATTTTCATATTTGTCTAGGACAAAGTCCAACATGTTAAGAGAAATATTAAGTTACTTAGGTAAATGTTTGGCCCGGTGGGGCTCGAACCCACAACCGATATTTTATAAGCTGTACATCGCTACCATTACACCATTGAGCCCGTCGGATTATATCTTAAAACCATTAATTAGCACACTAACAATTTCGCGGTCAGTTCAAACTCGACCACCTCTGTCATGTACTGTCAACGTAACGACATTTGAGGTCGCTAGAGGCAGAGTAGCCTAAGTGCAATTTTATGACTTGATTTCTTTATATTTTCATATGCTAAAAGTGAAATAATAGCACAGTGACCGAAAATAGTACAAATTCATTTTCGCTCAAGTTAATTGCGCATTTTCATTTTCCTCTTTATTAAAAATCATGTTTTTTTCTTATTAGATCACTTTGCCTCTAGCAGCCTCATTTCAGACAATGTTTTACCTTTCCAGTTGTCAATCGCCGCGCACGCAGTGCAAAACACGAGGTGTAGACGCGGTCGCCCGCAGCTAGCCTGGCGGCGAGACACCTAATCACTGAGCGAACATCCTCATCGTTCGACGCTCTGACCACGTTGAAACCACCATTTGGAAGGTGGACTTTCAATGTGGTTGGATCTGGTGCTGCACCTGAAATTTAAGTTCGTTTTTATACATATTTAGCTGACCTGGGAACGTTTCCCATATTTTGCTATATGAAGATTTCGAAATTTGATTACAATAGAAACGGTTTTTGTGAAATCAAACGGTAGACATATATTGTCGTGGACACGTTCCACGACTTCATTTGTTCTTGCGCTATTAGTCACATCTTAATGTTTATTAGCCTAAAGCCTTCCTCGATAAATGGTCTTGCCATCACAAAAATATTTTTTTAATTCAAATCAGCAGTTACTCAAAATTACCGCGTTCAAACAACAAACAAACTCTTCAGCTTGATAGAATTAGTATACAGTAAATATTGGTCTTCTAAAGATGGGTGACGAACGTATAATTTTGTACTTTTCGAATTGATGACAATGATTTCAAACTATTGATTACAAACTTCGTGATTTAACAAGTGTTTGCATTTACTGCGGTTGCGGGTGACATTGCGTGTCAGAAGATTGTCAAAAACAACTCAATAGGATAAGTAATAATGTGTAACAATATAAAATATCACGTATACACCTAGTAAATAACGATTTCGCGACAACATGCTCCTATCAAAACCCTAAGCCCCAACAAAGCGCATGATACGACATAAATCAGTCTCCGCTGAAATATTAATGATTGGCGTGCCAGCCACCATGACAGACATAAAATTTATAATTTAGGACCTAATAAAATGTTCTCAAGAACCATTGTCAACGTAGGCTCAACTTGACGAATATAAATGATTATATTAATAAAAATTTGCATGCCGAACATTCTTGGAATCTTAAAGTGACGTCCGGTCATTGCCGAAAGGTATACTTATGAAATTAAAACTTTTAAACTTAGAAAAAAGTAATACTGTCTATAGTTTTAAATCGTTAACGTGTTTTATTTAAAAAAGTAATACATTAAGGACGGTATCGTAACGTCGGGCCGTAGGTAAAATAAAATGTAAATAACTAATGCACTGCGCGTATTAGACCGTTTAAGTAGTTTTATATAAATGTACTCTATTCACCTAAGCTACAGAGAATACTTAAGAAATTACTTAAAATAGATTGACAACACAACATATTTATATAAGATTGCGGAATATTATGTTGGTAAGTCCGGTGTTTGTCTTTCTATCATAAACATAATATAATTATACCGCTATATAAAAGTTTGACTTTAATTTGGTCATTGTTAAAGAATCTACGAATAGTTACGTGTCTGCGGTGGCACTCAAATAAAAGATAATGCAAATTGTTCTTAAGAAGTGCCATGAGGCATACTTCTCCCGTGTAAGCGGTTAAGTATATTCTAATGAGTAAGGAAAACAATTAAATATTTATAAAGACGGGGGAGCAGGTGTCCTGTTGTATTCAAATTGAACACCTTATTTGTACTTATGGCTTAGAGGATTTTCCGCGATTCGGATTAACGCACGTTTGTAAAGGGAAATGGCGGACTTCTCTTATATTGTAACTCGATTCTGAAAGGAACGTAACTCGAATCTCGATCAAGTGCAGTTTTAATCAAAGGCCCTGCCTTTTTGTAATTTATTAAATTACAAAAACTTTCTACGAAATAATAAATTAAATCAACGAACATCTCAGTTCTAACGGAAACTAACTGGGCAATTTTATAAAACACAGGAAAATAGTTGATTATTATTTATTGTCTTTGAATTTTTGTGTACGATTTTATGTGTGTGTGTGGATTAAATGATGTGATTTGAAAAGCTGCAAAAGAGCGTACAATTCATTCCTTTTTTGAAGTGTTGCTACTACTAATAATCAGTATATAGTATAAATGATTTTTTTGGGAAATGAACCACAGTCGACATAAACTTTAAGCCGTAAAGTGTAAATCCTCAATCTGTGTGTTTCCCTATTTAAATGTAAAATCACAATAGTACTATAAGCGTATCTTTATTATATGTTAAGGCGACGCGAGACCCAATGTATGTTTGTCGCAATGCTAGGCAATACGTTTAACCATTTGGCTACAGAGACGGTCTTTGTCACCATAAGATATAGCCCGCTGTTATGTATTTAAAGATCTGACCTTTTATTACGATTAAATCCGCTTAAATGCATAGTCTAGAGCAGTATTAAATATAATAGGGAAAATTGCCTCCACACACCTCAATTATCATTGCGTAAAAGTTCTTTAATGATGCTGTGATCTGCCGCTGTGTCTCACAGACGCGCTTGGGAATTGAATCGATATGTCGACCGTCATTTATGCTTATCAACGCCATATATGTGCGTTCAGCGACATCTATTCATACGACATGTATATTATATCTATATCATACATGTAAAACCAGGCTACTGTATGTATTTAACACTAGCCGTGGCCGAGACTTCGTCCGATTAAAATAGTTATTTTGGGCATCAATATTTATTTTTGCAAACAACCAACAATAGATATATTTTGTTATATATTATAGAAGAATCATTCAACCTTACATATTGCTTAGTTTAGTTTAGAACCTGAGATTAGCGCTTTCAAGCAAACGAACAAACTCTTTGGCTTTATAATTTGAGTATAGATTGATCTTACAATTCGTATTAGTAAATAATACGTCGAGAATGGTTGAGCAAAATTATGGAAGGTAACTTAACACAAGCATAGGGTAATTTTATTACCTTATTCCGTTCAACCATCTTCCAAAGAGACTTATTTTTTGAACGATTAATGTATTAATACTTAGGTAGTGTAAGAAGTAGGTTTTCTGTATTAAATATTTAAACTGCTATAAACAATTATATTATGCATTAAAAGTTAAACACTTTGGCCAATAAGCCAATAAAATTGGCATTTATCAAAATCGAGATGAATAAAGATCGCGCTTGTGAACTCCACCTCGTTAACACCTATTGAGCGGAAATGATGTGGGACCGTTCTAAAGGACATTTTATAAACGGACTATGTATTTAGGTTATTAATATTAAAATTTGTGTGTTAATCGGTCTCTAAATATACTAAAACTTTATTAATTTTAGACGAAAAAAAAAAACACGACCAACAGGACTCGAATCCACGAGTACCCATGTCCAATCAATTGAAATATGATAGCACAAAAAAATTATAAATATGTAATTATTACACTGCACTAAGTTTAGTGAGACTCACCACCGGTCTGCGCAGGCGCATGCCGCTTCGGCGAGGCAGGCTGCATCGCTCGAGCTAGCGGCCCCTCGCCGCACCGCCCGCCACCTTCCGGTTCATGACTGGAAAGAAAATAACACGTTCTTGTGTCAATTTGTAACGTATTCGATTATAACTATAAAGTTATAGCTGCAAGATGAATTAAAATCCGTTTTGACACACATGATGGCACTATATAATTTAAAAATCAATTTTATACTCAAGGCAGGACTTAAAACGGCTTTATATTTAAATTCTTTTCCCTACGAAGACATAAGTGTGTCCGTTTTAAATTTAAAATGCACAACGATACACATATAACGATTGTTTTAAATAAATAATATTTATAGTTAATCTATGTAATTTATAACTATGAATTATCCCAGGCTTTTTTATAATGAAGTAACAGAAATAATAGAAAAATAGTACTTCTTAGGATGCTGACGGCATCTAAGCATAAAACGGTAAATAAAATACAGCAGTTCCGTCAAAGCGAACCCGACACAAAGATGAAAGGCCTTACGGAGTCCATTCAGTAAGGATAACAAGAAGAAGCAGTTCTGCGAGCTCAGACATACAGAGTATAAAACGTTATATAAAATCAATTTAGTCGAATACAATAATTCCCAACCTAACAAGCAGGGTCGGAGCTTTTTTGTAGAGCTATTGTCATCCGTAATAAGGTACTTACTGTAGGACTATGAAATTATAATGTTACAGTAAATATTTCTTTTGATAGAATATATTTCTATTGAAAATAACCAAGGACCCGACCCGAAGTTTCGGATGTTTTACGGCAGCAACTAAAATAAATTGTAAATAAGTTAACCAATTCATTTCGTAAAAAAGAGTTTGTTTAAATATATACTACGCACGTAAGCTACAGACAATACTTAGCTTATTTATGTGAAAAACTAAGTGCACTTATTTACGTCAAAACAATTAATAAAACAAATATTTTTCAAATAAAGAATGTAATTAATTGTAACGTTACAATGATACATTAGTTTTATATTTGTAAAGTTTATTAAGTTATGATATTTAGTACCAATTATTCCCGTAGTAAAGACAATCTTTTATATTTTATTGGTTCATTAAATACCGTTTCTAGTAAAGTGCCGATAGAAGAAAATAATTTCCTCGCCGTTTCTTTTTGTCTATCAAATTCTATTTTATTTTGCAAGAATAGAGAAATGCAAACGCCATGTTAAATAAAAAACAGTGTTAGAAAGCTAGGGCTGCCACATTTTACAAGAACGTTACAGCATAAAGCGAAAAGACAATAATCAACTTACTAGTTTACTTAGTAGCGGTAGTTAAATTTTTTTGTGTTGGTTTAAAAAAGGTTATTTTATATTTAATAATCATGTTTTATTTGGTCAACGGAGATATATAAAAAGTTAAATCCCGTTAATTCCATGGGGCAAACACATTTCTGTGTCCGGTCGTACAGATGTATCGGTTTTACTTTTACAGACAAGTAGTTATCAGACTTCTATGCCCTGCCTTTGAAACAATCTATTATTTCCTCGGGATTCGAATCCAGGACCTCTTTTCGCTTAAAGCAATTCTAGGCAACACTTTTAATCATTTACCTACAGGGGAGTCAGAAGAACATAACCATATTAAAGTAAAACTTTTTATTGATAATGAATCCTGACGTTTCAGATGCTTTACAGTGGGACGCGGGAAAAGACAGTATAGTGTTAATCCAACAGTAAGTAAATTGGCAACCCTTTTGTACACTGACCATAGACAACGCTTTAATTACCACAGACTGAGCATGCGAGGGTAGAAGGGGTGTCACTAGCCCACCCGAGCATCGATTGGTAGCCTTCTTGCCAACATTACAAAATTCTTACAAAACTGTAATTTGGTAAACTTTCAAATTTAATTTTCGTAATTTTCACTCGATTTAGTCAGTCAGTGGAGGGATAACTCAAAACTAATTAAGCAATGGTGAATTTATCTATCTAAATACGTCTATCCCTCATGATCCCCTCCTATCTCCTGTAATACGTACGATATAAAATATACAATGAAATCTACCAATTACAGCTATACAGTTTTTAGGTAGAATTTTAAATACATTTTAGCCAAATTTTACCAAAATCAGTGTGTTGTACATAACTTGCTCCCATCCTGCCTAATATGTAAGTAGATAATTTTTCTGCTCTTAATTTGAACAATGTGCTAATTTTGTTTATTAGGTTGGTAGCACTGGTCGGCGCCATACATCGTACGTGCGGATGCAACCGAATGCACCGCTTCCATTTACCCGTTTCGCATATAAATTATGTGCGATGACTGAAAATCGATACTCTGTTGTTTTTTTACGAGCTCCGTCGCCTACGCTATTTTTGAAACATCGTTTTATATACTTAATAAGGAGTTACTGTATCAATAATAATTCAAATAATATATGTTAATTGGTACAGTTACTACCGGTACCGACGCCGTGTAGATGAAAAAAAACTTCATAATCTAAATAAAATATTTTTAAATTTCAATTAGATCGTAGGATAAACTGGATAATTAAAGTTAAAGTCAAAATTTATACATAGAGGTACACTACACTTATGAACGTCACAAAACTAAAGAATTTAACTTAACAATTACTACCAGTCTTCAAATCAAGGGCGTAAACAAACGAGAAAAACTGGCAATAAACTCGCCGTCACTTCTTTTATCGCCAAGTTTAATTTTACATTCTACATGGACTTTAAATGCACTACATATTTTTTCTCAGTAGAGCGGGTTCCTTCCACATCGCACATTTTTATTATTTAAATATTGAGTTGTTACTTATACTTTGACGAAACCTAAAATGGCATATAACAGACACATTTCTATGTATGATTCACTGATCGAATGTATTATAGGCAATTAGTTAACTACTTTCCTCTTTAAGAGTGAACATTTGATCGTGCTTGACGCGATTTTAAACCGATTAATAAAACATTATTTCAGTTACATTACATGATTAAAAGAAAATTTGATCGTGCTTTAAATCATGTAATGTAACTGAAATAATGTTTTATTAATCGGTTTAAAATCGCGTCTAATGTGTTGCATCAATTACTTATCCAAAATAATATTGTAGTAGTGTTGTAATAGGCAAACCAACTTTGTTCAAATATGTAATACGTATTTAATTGCAAAAACTTTCGCTAAGTAGCTAGCTGACTCACGACGGTTTCGTTTATGACACGTCTAGATAGCAAGACACAGTTTGTGACGCATAGTTCACACCTACCTCTAATGTTATTAAACTGTCACAGAGGTGTGTCTACATTGATAACATCTTAATAAACACAAAATAGTTTTTATATTTTAATTACACGTTTAAGTGAACCCCAAAAACAATTGCACTAAGAATAATAAAATAAATTCTTATCAATTGGAAGTTAACTAAGGATAAATAAATATACACACTATTATACAGAGGTCTTTGGACCAAAATGGATATCAAGCAATGGGTGGTGGATTCGACTCCGACTGGATCCAATGCTCTTTAAACTGACCGCTGGAAATCTGGACATCAAATGCTTGTAAAAATATCGCAATACAGTCCACAGATGTATAAACCGTTAAGTGTAAGTATCCGCGTTTTGATATCCGATTGACTGAAGCAAAAATAGGTTACAGGGCTGGTGCTTATCACGTTTTTCTGTCCTCCTCTGTCATGAAAAATGACTCAGGATTTGCAATACATTCAGAGTAAAATCCTCTATGTAGTCCAATGTTGATAATAATATCGTTTCTAATGAAATAATGTAGCAATAATACCTGTTATATATTAGTAATAATAGTAAGTAATATGAGCAACTGTCTGTGTGCAGTCATATGATGGTATCGTAATTTCAAGACAACAAATAACATGAACGATAGGTCCTGCAAAGATCTTTCGACTTGAACAAATGTATGCATCCAAGTTTTGTATAAAAACGCTTTTTCCTATTTTATGCTAGTTATATATATAGTTGAAAAGCTCTATGTTGACTATATAATAAACATACATAAACGTTTTAAAAGTATAGATTTATCTTAATTATACTCATTGCATTACAAACATAAAAAATGTTTATGATTAACTAACTTTGAAGAGTTGATCTGAATCTGACAACATTCAAGCATAAACTGTATCGAATTGTGTGCGTGGGTTGACAGTAGATAATTACAGGTAATTAAATTGCTTCATCACACAGGTACTCGCTGTAGAATAATTAGCAGTGCCCAATAATTCAATATTAGGATTTTTTTGCATTTGCTTGAAATTGAAAACAGCTGAATTGAACAGCTCCACGTTCTTCGCTGAACTCTTAGCCAAAAGTCAAATGAAAGCTCACGAGCCTGAGGTAAAGATGGTGACATAAAATTGTTAAGCACCTAAATTTATTATTTTTATGTCCTTATTTAACCATCATTAGAAATAAATACCCAGGATATAGCTAAATAATAATACCAATGGAAGAAAGCTAGAACTCATAAGCGACAGTTTAACTACTAAACCTAACCTTGTGATGAACTTATAAAAGAAACTATTAAGTTAATATTTTTCTTGATATACATTTTTTTCTACGACAGTGGAAGACACAAGCATATAACATCTCAACAAGATGCGCAAGAGACCTGCACCTGTAGATACTGAAATCGTATCGCGATTAAACTTCACGGTATTCTCATTTATGGACGTTGGTTTGTGACCCTGACGGAGATGTGTTATTCCTACCACAAATAATAAATTTATTGGAAACATGTTAAACGACCAGTTGATTATTAAACTATTCGTGATTATTTCTGTACTCAATATATGTTTTAAAGTAGGAATTTAATAGCACAAAATGACCATTGAAATGTTTTACTAATTTCACGCGTTGAGTAAATATAAACACAAGTTAATTAATAAATGACCTCTGAAATTATCTTAAACATGCCAGTATATCAGGTTTATATATCGTAATCAACAAAATACTTGCATTTAAGGCTTGCCTACACTTTTTTATTAATATACTATATAGATAGAGTGTATACAGTCTATATCAATATTTGTCATACACGGAATAGAAAAAATCTAGAGCTATACATATATATGTTAAAGCCAAAAAAACACAAAAAATATGTTTCTAACAAGAGCTTTTACTGCATTTTATGAAACAACTGAAACTTTTGTAAAACTTTTGTTGAAAGTTTGAGTATTATTATTGCTAAACTTACTAACAAGTTTAGAATTAAGTCGTTTGTGAGTTTTGAGGCGATAGTGTATATAAGGCCTTAAACTTTCCACGCTACATCGAATGTGGGCGAGGAGAGACGTGGGCGAAGCCTTGATTAAAGAATGTTGACTGTCAAAACTGCTTATTAGCTGATAATCTGTTTTAATGAAAGAATGTTGCCACAGAGCACTACTAATATACAGCTTTAAGCTGTACATATTGATAATTAATTTATACTAATATTATAAAGTATGTTTGTTTCAATGCGCCAAACTAAGCAACTACTGGTCCGAATTTAATACTTCTTTCATTATTTTTTATGTAATCAAATATTCGTTATAACTACAATATAATAATAACCTTGCAAACAAAACGTTCATCGGATCACCTAGTACTATGAACATGTATGAAGCTGAAGGGTTTGTTTGAAATGCCCTTATCTCAAAAACTACTAGAATATTCTTCTACTGTAGGATATCCCTGTTATCTACGATACCGCTCGCTGTGACAAATAGGGGTCGAGAAACTATGGTAGATGAATTTTAAGCTTACGTGACGTTGTCACGTAGCGTTATACTTATATAAAATTTACTTATGAAAGATCTTTCGTAGTAACCCGCACATACATCGTTTATTAGAAGTCGATAATTCGATAGGTCATTAAACGTAAGTTATCGTTTTAAATAATAAAAAAATACCTCTTAGACCTCACTCTCGTGTATCTCCAAGTATTACTGCTGTAATGACCAGAACTGGACGGACACAACAACAGCTGTAGACTATTCGGTCGCGGTTCCCGCCTCTTCTTACACCTCAACTTCACTTCCTCCAGAGCTTTAGCGTCTGGTTTCTTGACTTCCGGTTTCCTTACTTCTGCTTCGCTTTCCAAATTTAAATGCTCCAAACGTTCCTTTATGAATCTCGAACGCAGTAGATCGGGCGTAACGTCGATTCGATGTTTTCGAATTTCAATCGGGGACAAAGGAGGTTTCCGTGGCTCGAACACTACCTTCGAGTACTCGTTGCTTCTTCGCCAGAGACGCGGAGACAAAGGCCAGAACCGCCCACTGGGCAGCGATTCCATCACCATTTTTTTATCACAACTGACTCATAAATTTTAATAACACTCGACTTTATCGATGCTTAACTCTGTGTATACAAAAGTTGCCAGTATCTAATTAATAAATTTATTTTTAACAAACGTCCGTACTATTAAAGAGCAATGTATAGACTAAGTTAATTGTATGGTAAACAATGCTAAAACGATCAATCAACCATTCGCCTACGGATTCTCAATAGGAGTGGTAAACAAACTGCCACACTGGAAGAGCACGTATTGCGCTGATAAGGCTCCAGACGAGCTTTATCAAGTAAACCTCGTACCGACGATGAGCGTTTAAAAAATACGTCACGTATCTTAATTGATGCTTAGCGTAGTTTCGGATTATCCCTATCCATGGTAAATCTTTATCATACTCAAGGAAAATAGACGTCACAAAACTGGTTTAAATTAAGATACAAGTTTTCCTATATTTATTTTCCCTGTATACATAACAATTATATCATACAGCTGATTGAAATAGCTACGGTTTACTTTACTCACTTTTAATGGCTCCCGAGATACTCATGCAAAAATAAGTACTAGAAATAGTTACTAAATTAAAATACTTGTAACTGAACATTTTCTAAGGTTCGCACATTACAACATTTCTAATTTATTATTTTAACGTAATTTTAATAAATGAGAATAGTGATAGGGTCGATTACTCTAATAAATCACTAACAAAAATATCCCAAATTCGGCTTATCCAAGAGTATTTCGTACAATACAGTATTTCCAACAACATTCGATTACAAATTCATTCACGCTATAGATAATTTTTTCCTTTATCGAGAATATTTCTTTATTTTCCTAGTAGTTGTGGAATGATAAATTACAAAATTTGCATGAAAGATAGATGACGTAAGTGCAACTGTACATCTGTATATATTGTAATGTGATATTGAAAACCCTTATCTTGTTACTCACAATTATTGAATTTGTTGTGTTCGAACGATTGTGCTTCTTTTCCTATCAAAAATTTATGTAGATAACAGATAAATAATATAGTCTAAAAAATTCAAAATTCGCTTTAGCTTACTGTTTTCACTTTAACTTAAATTTTCAAGTAGTTCTTGATCAGATTTTTGATGAATTGTGTAAGGCTCTCACGGCCGTCGTTTAGTATATCATTGTTTTCTCGACGAAGAAGAGGTTCTCGACGTTCGCCATCACGAGCGAACGCCATCATCAGGAGATGTTAGCCCCTCGATTGCTCGCTCTTTCTTCTAGCTCACGTCGACCGAACAGCCCGAAAAATAATGCTATGCAAATGTTTGATGATTTATGAGATTTGACTTTTTGTATGAGAAACAAAGCATTTCAAAATAGATTTTCACTGCCTACTTTTCGACATCATTATTCAACATTTGGTCTAATTATGCCAAAATGGGAATGTAATGCAAGGCCTCCTCTTTGTGGTCAATCTGTATGCATTATGAGGCACTGCCTGTCTATTGTGCGTCCTACGGATGGCCAAAGTATCACAACTCATGAATAAACTGTAGGAGATATTATGTCTAACACAATTACGTAGGTATAGTGTAGGATAGTGAATGGAGTTACGAGACATTTGCCAAATAACGTAAAATATATTTTCGAATCTAGAGTAAAGATATACTTATTTCCAACTAGATATATACATATACAGGTACCTATTCATATTATCTGTGATATTAAATACTGTCTATAGTTTACGCGAGTAGTACACATCTAAATAAAACACTTTACCGGTTTACACCGCGATATTTGAGTTAAACTTAAGTATATGAAAATTATTTTTAAAAACTTTGGTTGGCAAATTTGATGCATTAAATTATTAAATTTATCCTTATCTTTAGTTAATCTAATAGAGCACAGAGAATTTCAACTTCAGGGATCAAATGATCCTTAAAGAGAATTTTACGTCATAATGATTGGACACAAATTGCAATGGCGGCGCGACGAATACTAAACGATTTGCGAGGAAGTCAAACCGGACGTAATCTATTTGAGTGTATTATGTAAATGTTATAGATCTTGTTATATCGTTGGTATGACAAGACGTATCTTAGGACGTCACTGATGGCGCCGCTTACACACTTTGCTAGGGTACATAATGAAGTATCGGCAAAAGGCTATTCCATTTTTAAATATACGTAATAATTACACAAAAAAAGAATGTTTCACATAATTAATTTAATTTAGTATTAATAAATAGAATAAAAAATAAAACACTTTAACGGCAGCCGTGGTTACAGGGAGACGGGTATCCCCGTGATCACGGCTGCTGTAAAGTTTAACTAATATGTATCGCGTTTTAAACCGTTAAAGTGTTTTATTCAATGTGTACTACTCGCATAAACTACAGGCAGTAGGTATTTAAGAAATAAATTATGAGTGTACACTGGCGAATTTCAACATAAGGAATATCGAGTTCGAATCCCTTATAACCAAAATACTTAGGAATAAAATAGACGAAATATAGAAATAAAATCACAGGTCAACGGTAATTTTTAAAGAACACAGTTTTTTCTTTATCAATGTGAAATACATACGATAAAACAAATGCCAACAATTCGAAATTGTTTTATGGTGATTATATTTCAATTATGGAGATTGGCTGGATTAATACGTTATTATCTGTAAAATTACAGATAATAATCTAGCAGTAATGTCAGTTGTCGCAGGAAGTGGCAGGAAGCAGCTGAGTCACGGGAAGTGGGACTATATTACCATTCAGCTCACCCACTGTCGGTATACAGTAATCTAATCGATTGGTGACAATGTTCGTCTCGGACAAACGTAGTTAGATTAAAAAAATATATCAAATAATCTACAGATTCGACATTGACTGTTTATGTAGTTGAAAAAAAAAACAATCCTATAAGAAACTATTTCTTACTTTACAGATTACGCGAGTAGTGGACATTGTAATAAAACACTTTTAACGGTTTAAAACGCGAAGTGATTTTTTAATAATATTTTAACTATGACCTGACTTTTCAAATGGTTTATCTACCAGTGGCGACTGCACCGGTAAACGCGATAACACCATTCTGAAAAGATCCAGCCAGTTTTGACAAATACCAACTACGAGGTGGCACAGATACCGCTAGTGTAGCAGTTACTTGAATATGTATTCGGGACACCCTCCATCAATAGTCTCCCCGTGACCACGACTGCTGCAAAGCATCCGAAACTTCATTGTTAAAATAATTTGCAACTAAGTTTAACTAATAAATTTAATGTTATAAACCGTTAATAGTGTTTTCTTTTTTAACTATTTCTTACTCACAATAACAAGCTACATAACGAGTACAATACTTCTCAATACGTATTCTATATGTGTATGTATATAGCTAGAAAACCTTATAACAGCTTAATTACCGTGACTCGAAGAAACCGTCAAACCATACAATAGACTTCTCGAAACCTTACTCCCAAGAAACGGTCGATGGAAGGCATTTTCGACGCCATTTCTGTCACAATGGCCGGAAGGTTTCATACAATGGACTACAGGCTAACTCAATAGCTAGCGAAATATCTTTATACGTCTAGTACAGATACAGTAGAAACAATAATTATAACTTATTAGCTTACATAAAATACAAATATTTGATCTTTCAAGAAAAACCCCAATTTTCAAATAAATCGGTCAAAAGATAAATTCGCAGACGAAGGATTCCGTCCCGTTGAGTTGCGTTTTATTTATGGCTGCTGCAGAGCATCCGAAACGTCGGGCTATAGTTAAAATAAATTAAAAACAAATTAACTAAAATAGTTCGCGTTTTTATCCGTTAAAAGCGATTTACTTAAACGTGTACAACTCGCGAATAAATACGTATTTGACGAGATATCTACAGAGTATTATTACGCCACAAACATTTTATTAGTGGGTGGTCTATGTGGCCGCGATACAAACGCCATTAAAATATTTAAAGCTGTCATAAAACATATAGTTTAAATTTAACGGGGACATTAATCAATGAAATTTACTGAGCGTATTATGTTACCTTAGCTTTATTTAATTACTGTTCATATACAGAGTGTTTTATTTGTGCCCTTAACAAAATATGTAAGACATACTATTGTATTTATACTAATGTATAAAGCTGAAGAGTTTGTTTGTTTGTTTGAACGCGCTAATCTCAGGAACGACGAGTTCAAATTAAAAAATTATTTTTGTGTTGGTTCATGTATGGATCATTTATCGAGGAAGGCTATAAAACATTGCGCTGTGACTAATAGTATGTATGTATGTATAGAAGATACAGCGAAAATGTGAACAAAACGGGGGAAATTTTTCATCTCTTTTGGTTTTAGATGCGTACGCTGCGTTCAAGCGCTAACAGTTCAAGATACCTAAAAAATATGTATAAAAAGAATGATTCCTCTTTAAATGATTTAAAAAAACTGCGACGCTATATATCCCTTTTAAGATTGCAAGAACGATGGTAAGGGACGCGATGGACGTTATGACTAACAGCTTAAGTTTAAAAAAAATTACGGGGTTTGAAAAAACTAATTTGGATGCCTAAATAACGAACCTCGCGGACGAAGTCGCTGGCACAACTAGTTGTTCATAAAATAAAATATTTAAAACTCTACATTGAAATTAAGAGACTAGTCGACTGTCTTGTGTTTTGTACATCATAAATGTACGTAATTCACAACCGGAAGTAAACATACCGGTTCAAAGATATATTTTAACAGATTCTGATAAAAAGCATATAAAAAGCAACCCAAATGACACTTCTCCCGAAACTCACTAATGAGAGTAACATTACTCACAAAAAACTTTCCCAAATTAAGTTTTGCGGCCAAGCAAGTGGTTCACTTTCCTGACCCACATGCCGCGCGGACAATGCGCCGTGACGTAACGGTGACGTCACGAATTTAATTGTATGTAAATGTGCAATTTGGATGCAGTTTATAATTGAATTTGCAGCCTGGGTGCATGCTTACAACGCTATGCTATAATGAAAAACCTATTATTACAAATATTAGTA